GTTTCCTCATCTTTCAAAGGGTGAGGCGTCCCCGGATTTGAGGTGTTTGTGAAGCTCCAGGACAGCACCTGGCACCGGGAGCCTGAAGAAGGTTGTGGGAAATCCAAACGGAATGAGGCAGAGAGCCTCATACTTGAGGTTTTATTCAGGAGAGGGTGATGTAGGGCCAGTGTTGCAGGATTTTAAATATGCAGAACATGTATAGCATTGGGCATAAGAGTATTCCTGTTTCTCCCTAAATAGGAAATGAGATTCTCTGCTAGGCACCCGGTCCTAGAAAAGCACCTGACTATCGCGGGTATCAGTAACTGACTAATGCAGATGGGATCTGGGTGACGGGAGGAGGTTGTCTTGCAGTGGTTCTCAACCTTCCTAATGCCGCGACCCTTTAATACAGTTCCTCATGTTGTGGTGACCCCCAATTTCATTGTGACAAATTGATCATAATTAAAGCATAGTGATTAATCACAAAAACAATATGTAATTATATATGTATTTTCCGATGGTCTTAGGCGACCCCTGTGAAAGGGTCGTTGGACCCCCAAAGGGGTCGCGACCCACAGGTTGAAAACCGCTGTAGAGGAATAAAAAGAACCAGCGCCCCCGCCACAAGCACCCCGGGATGAACTACAAGTCCCACAAGACCCCGCCTCAATGGGAGGCGGGGCGCAGGCGAGGGCGGCACCGGCTGTTCCTCTTTCTTGAAGCGTGATTGGCTCGCGGCTCTGGGAGGCGACCAATGAGCGCACTCGGGAAAAGCGGCGAGGCCAATATGGCTACCTGCACCTGGTGACGGTTGTGGGAACTGTTGGGTCTCATGGAGAAGCCGCGCGGCGTCGAGGTGAGTGGGAGAGGACTTCGGCGGGAGGGAAAGGGAACCCCGAGAGCCCAGCTCGAAGGACGCTGCTGCGGGCCTTCCAGCGACGCCTTGCGGTGCTGGGTGGGGGGATGGATAAACAGGCTGAGCAGGGCCAGAGGGGTCGGTGCTGCCTTCTGGTCCGAGGTGGCTGGAGTCGGCGTCCGGGAGCAGGTCCCGGAGGAACCGCCTCCCTGGCCTCGGGAAGGGGAACCGGGTTGGGGGGTCTGAGAGCTCCCGAATCCCCGTCGTCCCTCCTGTCGCGCGGCCCCGTTCTTTAGGGCTTGCGAGGCCTGTCACATCCCGGGTGACGTGACGGGAGACGAAGGCAGAATAAGCATTCCGTGTCTAGGCTGCCCACGTGCGCCGTCTCCCGGGACACGCACCACCGTCCTGGTTACTGTTTCGCTTTTATGGTCCTACTGGCTGCAGCTTCGGTAGCGAGACTCCAGGAAGTTCACGCCGCCGGGAGGCGGAGGAGGCCGGCGCTACGCCCGGCCGGCGCCCAGACTCCACCTGTTAGGTCCCGGCTCTGCCGACCTGTGCCCCGCTCACTCGTTCATCATTGCCTTCCGGTCGCCTTGTGTTTTGTGTGTTTTTGTTTTTGTTTTTGTTTTTGGAGACCAGAAGGGAGAGGGAGAGAAACATCCATCGGCTGCCTTCTGCGCGCCCCCTACTGGGCATTTGGGGATCGACCCCCGCACCCCAGGCTGGTGCCCCGACGGAGATCCCAACTGGCCACCTCCTGGGACGCCGCCCAGCTAACAGCCTCCACGGCCAGGGCCTTGTCACCCTGTATTTGAATTCAGTTTCCTTTCTAGCACATTTGCATGTGTAGTTGGAACTATAAAGTGGAATCGCCCTTGAACCAGGGGGTCACGGTTGGATTCCGGGGGTTGGATTCCGGGTCAGAGCACACGCCTGGCTTGCGTGCTCCACCCCCAGTAGGAGGCCTGCAGGAGGCAGCCAGTTGTTGATTCTCTCTCATCACTGATGTTTCTCTCTCCCCCCCCTCTCCCTTCCTCTCTCTGAAATCAATTGGAAATATATATATATATATATATATATATATATATATTTTTTTTTAAGAATAATAGCTCACACTTTGAGAGCTGTCACTAAGTCCTGGAAACAGATCTCGGCTTTACATATCTCTTCATAACAGTCTTCTGAAGGAGGCCTGCTTTTATCTCACGTGCACTAGCGAAGAAACAGAGAGCGGCAAGGGTGACTGTCTTGCAGCAAAGCACACAAAAGTGGCAGAGCCAGGATTCAAACCTGGGCAAACTGATTTGAAATGCCATGCTTTTAACCAGTAAAAATTGCCAATATTTATTGAATACTTACTATGTGCAGGTCACTGTTCCAGTGCTTTACATGTATTACTCCTTACTTCCCCCAAAGCCTATGAAGTAGGTGGTATTGTGCTCATTTACAGATGGGGAAACTGAGACACTGAAAGACTGACTGACTGCAGAGCATACAGCTGGTAAAAACTAGCAATGGGCCCTGGCCACTGTACTCAGCGGTGCAGCGGTTCTCAACCTGTGGGTCGCGACCCCTTTGGCGGTCGAAAGATCCTTTCACAGGGGCCGCCTAAGACCATCCTGCATATCAGATATTTACATGACGATTCATAACGGTAGCAACATGACAGTGATGAAGTAGCAACGAAAATAATGTTATGGTTGGGTCACAACATGAGGAGCCGTATTTAAAGGGCCAGAAGGTTGCGAACCACTGGATTAGAGCATCACACTGCGCACGGAAGGGTTGCTCGCTCCCACCCGGGTCGGTGGAGGTGTGTGGGGAAGGCAACCAATAGATGCGTCTCTCTCTCAATGATGTTTCTCTTTCTCCTCCCTCCCTCCCTCCCTCCCTCCCTCCCTCCCTCCCTCCCTCCCTCCCTCCCTCCCTCTCTCTAAAAGCAGTGGAAAAAATATCCTCAGGTGAGGATTAACAGCAACAACAAAACTAGAGATGGTATTTGAGCCCTGACCTAGAGTCCAAATTCTTCACACCTTTTCTACTACACGCCAGGTAGATTCATATACACTATCTCATTTACGTCTCACATCCTGTGAGCCAAGTTTTTTATTTATTTTGTAGATAGGAAAATTGAGTTCCAGAGGTTAAATGCCTTGCCCCAGAGCCCCAGCTAGTTAGGATCAGAGCTAAGTCCCAAGTTGTGGTCCATTCCACTGTGCTATAGCTAGTGTGTCTTCTGCCTTCCAAATCCTTCTTATGGCAGTCTGGCTCCCAAATTAACTTTTCTCTGACTTAAGTTGTTTTTGAGGTGATTTTGATGTACATATGCCGAAGGGGGAAGAATACATTTCTACTGAGTTCAGTTCCAGACCACCGCAACAAAGACAGTCGTAATCTTTTTGCTGGTGGAGAGTCTTGCCTTCAGTTTGTGAAAATTGCAACATCTGTGAAGTGCAATAGACACCAAAATCTTCAGATGCTCAAGTCCCTTATATAAAATATCATAGTATTTGCAAATAACCTATGCACATCCTCCCATATACCTTAAATCATCTCCTGATTACTTATAATACCTAATACAATATAAATGCTATGTAAACAGTTGTTATTCTGTATCACTTAAGGAATAATGAAAAGAAAATTGTCTTCATATGTTCAGTACAGATGTGACCACAGGCCTAACTATATGGTACATGTCAGCAACACTAACATTGTATTGATGTTTTTTTACGGGAATGTGGAACCCACTGATATGGAGGGCTGGCTGTATATTTCTTTCCCAGAAAGTCTTCATGAGGCACGTCACTTAGGATATTTTCATATCATTGTATTCTATTGAATCATGTGAAATATCATCATTTACAAATCCACAGAAGGAGCTTGCTTAATTCCTAAAACATGTTTTTTTCTGTTTTAAGCTATTCTGTTGAATTGTGCCTGCAAAGTGTATGAACAAGAGTAACGATTCTGGTCTTCCCAAAGGGGTGTTTGATTCTGCCTGCCATTTTGCCCAAAAATGTTGACTGACCAAAAACTGGAAAGGGAGCAGCTAGCGATCTGCAGCTGCCCTCCCTGTACACGAAGCCAACCAGGATTCCTGCCTGCTGTGTGTCCTCCTTTCTTGCACTAGGAGATTCCTTCTTCAGAACCCATGGAGGAAGAAGAGGAAGATGACGACTTGGAGCTCTTTGGTGGCTATGACAGCTTCCGGGGTTACAACAGCAGTGCGGGCAGCGAGAGCAGCTCCTATCTAGAGGAGTCCAGCGAAGCAGAAAACGAAGAGAGGGAAGCAGGGGAGCTGCCCACCTCCCCTCTGCATCTGCTCAGCCCTGGGACTCCTCGCTCCTTGGACGGCAGTGGTTCCGAGCCAGGTGCCTTCAGAGTGTCCCTGAAGATGGGAGGTTTCAGGAGGCTGTGGCGGAAGAGGGGGGATATAGGCCATGCGGACAGAATTGTCAGGTGTAAAGGGCTGTTTGGTCTTAAGTATGAGGGATCAGATGTGTAAGGACCTGTGAGAGAGACAGAAGCACCCCAAGTATCCCCAAAGGTCATTTCCGCTGGTGCAGTCTGATTTCAAATTGTGATTTCACTCCTTTCATACAATTGATTTTATTCAGCACATATTAGGTGCTAGTCATTAACATGGCACTGCTTTTACATTTGTGTGAATAGCTGGTGTATTTAAAAAAAAATTTTTTTTTAATTTCAGAGAGGAAGAGAGAAGGGAAAGAGAGATAGAAACATCAATGATGAAAGAGAATCATTGATCGGCTGCCTCCTGCATGCCCCCTACTGGGGATCGAGCCCACGACCCGGGCATGTGCCCTTGACCAGAATCGAACCCAGGACCCTTTAGTCCACAGGCCAATGCTCTATCCACTGAGCCAGGGTAACTGGTGGATTTTTTTAAAATATATTTTTATTGATTTCAGAGAGGAAGGGAGAGGGAGAGATAGATAGAAACATCAATGATGAGAGAGAATCACTGATTGGCTGCCTCCTGAGGACTGAGCCCACAACCCATGCATGTGCCCTTGACCAGGATCGAACCTGGGATCCTTCAGTCCACAGGCTGACGCTCTATCCACTGAGCCAAACCAGCGAGGGAAGCTGGTGGATTTTTAAGCGTGGATGTTGAGAAGGTAGGATACCTAAAGTGTTCTGATTATTATCCAGGAAGCAACAAGAAATAGCTTATGGTTTGGAAGTGACAGTGAGGAAAATAGAGAATAAAGTGACCCCTGGGTAAGAGGAGTAGGTGGTTGGGCAGATAAGAATCCCCATGGAGCATATGGAAGCCAGTTGGCTTCAGTGATGTGATGCTTGGACAGCTGCTGGACCCATGTCGGGGTCTCCACATGTCACTGCCTTTGAAGAGAGGCAGGTTAGACGGTCTCTGAGGACACTCTGTTCCTTGGTGCCCAGACTCTTCAGAACAATTATCTAAGACTCTCTGCCACTTGAATCTTATTTCCTTTCTATTCATCCTGTGCTCTCTGCCTTTGTGTGTCTGTCTCCCTTCTGTCTTCTAGTTGTTCTCTTAGAATCTCAGACCTTTAGGAATAGAAAGACCCAAGAGAAACCATCGAGCCCAGGGTTCTCTAGCTCTGGCTTGGGCATTTTTAAGAGCCCCCAAGTGACTCTAATGTGAAGCCGGGGTTGAAACACTGATCTAGTTCAGTCTCTTTATAGATGAGAAAAAAATAGACTCAGAAGTTAAATGATTTGGGCACTTTTTTCTACTTTTTTCCTCTGCAAACTTTCCAACACATGTTTCTTCGTGGATTTTCCCCCACTATTGACACATAGCCAAGGGATGCCAAGCAGCTTATCTTAGGTGAAGTAGATTCAGGATTTACCTGGTTAATGCAGTGCCAGGTTTTGAAGGGCCTATCATTCTGTTTGATTTGGGGTGACATATCAGGTGAGTCATGTGCTAAGTTCTCTTCCCAGCTGTCTGTGAGATGTGTGGTATCGTGGGTACAAGGGAAGCCTTCTTCTCCAAGACCAAGAGGTTCTGCAGCGTCTCCTGTTCCAGGAGCTACTCCTCCAACTCCAAGAAAGCCAGTATCTTGGCTAGATTACAGGTGAGAGGCAGTCACTTGGGAGGACCCTTCCTGGGGCCCAGGGTACTGAGACAGGAACAGCCAACTAACTGATGGCAAGGGGCCAAGAGAGCTTGGGGAGGACCTTGCCTGTATCCATCCGAGGATGTAAATTACCTGGTATTTATTATGATCTCAAACTTTAGAGGGCAGAGGAATCTATTTATGGGGCTTATTAACTTGCAGGTTCCTGGAGCTGCATTCACTTCATTCCCCACTCCGGGGAGGTTCAGTAAGTTTTAAACAAAAATGCCCTTGGTCCTTGCACCACACTTTTATAAATGTTCTGAAAGGAAACTGGGAGCCAGCCACAGGCTCATCAGCCATAGTGGGTTTAGATGGTTGATGCCTCATCTCTGACTCCATGTCATAGGCAGCCAGAAAGTCTTACCAATCTCCAGTTAATTACCGACATTCATAGCAGTTTCAGACATGGAGAGATTCTGATGTGCTGTCTGACCCGGACGCTAACTGGGACGTGTGCTGAAGTCCAGAGGAAGAATGACTTACTAGGGTGGCTCTGGGCTGAGGCAGCAGAGCGAGGCTGGAAGCGAATCTCAGGTGCTGGCCTCGTGTTGTTTATGGTGACTGGCTGCCGTCCACAACGCCTGTTCTCACACTTGGCTGCATGTTGAGCTCACCTAGAAGGTTTTAAAAATATTGACGCTTGGGTCTTGCTCCCAGAGAGCCGGACTTAATTGGGATGAAGTGTGGCCTGGACACAGGGGCTTCAAAGAGCTCCTCAGGTGAACCTACGGTGCGGGCAGGCTTGGGCCCCTGCTCTGATGTGTAGTGAGTCAGGGAGCCAGTTCTGCTCAGTGCTTCCTACACTCGCTCACCTTCACGAGACCACTACTGTTGTTGCCCTCATTTTGTGGATTGTAGTCAAGGCATGGAAAAATCCTTCCTCCGTGAGCTAGTAATATTGCGAATGGCTGCAATTTGGAGGTACTTACTAAGGGTTTGGCACTCTCAATGTAACCAGTGAGCTCTAAAAATAATTTTTAAAAAGTCCTTTTAAAGGGCCAAAAATTTTTAGTAACTTGCTGAAAGGTACACAAATACACTTGATCTTAGCCAGAAGGCCGAGAAGCAATGAAAGGCACACAAGTAAAATTGAGCCAGGATTTGACCCCAGGTTTGTGTGGGTTCTAAACCCACATTTCTACTACACTGATCTCTAGCAAATTCTCTGGGCCTCTGAGCAGTGCTAGGTTACAAATTACAGAATGGATCAGCGTCCATCAGCTTTAGGGGAGGACTCTGAGCACCTGATGGAAGCGAAACCTCCATGTATATACAAAATGTCTCCCGGTTCCTTTCACAGATCCCCTGAAGCCCATTCTCTGCCATAAATCTGTAGAAGTGCAGGAGCAAGTAATGGCTGAGAGTTCAAGCCACTAGGAAAAGGTTGCTGGAGGAAGCAAAAGTTTGAAAGATGGAACAGGTGTCCCTCTCTGCCTTACTGCTCAGCCATCTGTCCCCAGTGCCTCCCCAGTGAACAAGAGTTAAGCCCTTCTCCCATCCTTGCAACCCTTATTGTTATTAGCATCACCTTGATTTACAAATGAAGAAACTGGAGCCCCGAGAGCTTACTAGGAACTGACCCATGTTAAGATTTAAACCTAAGCAGTCTAAGTCCAGAGCTAGATTCTTAGCCAATATTCTCCACACATCCTCTCTGCCCTGCAGGGAAAACCACCTACCAAGAAAGCCAAAGTCCTGCATAAAGCAGCCTGGTCTGCCAAAATTGGAGCCTTTCTCCACTCCCAAGGGACAGGACAGCTAGCAGATGGGACACCAACAGGGCAAGACGGTAAGCGGGCAGAGGACTGTGCTCAGGGAGCTGCTGGGCATCGGTCTGGGGGGCCAGGACTGGGTGGCCCACTCTGGGAGTGAGGAGAAAAGATGGTCTGCTAGAAAGAGCCCTGACCCAGTCTTACTGTGGGTTGCATCTTCCTCACCTGGTAGCTATTGTGGAAATGACTGCAGAAAATCCCTTCAGACACCCTAAATGGCAGGACCCCCACTGATCATTCAAAAGCCATGAATTAGCCTCTATTGTTTTGCAATGATGTTAGCTCTATGCTTTCTGTCTCCCTGGGCGGTGGAAAACCAGGTCTAGTTGGGAGGGGTGGTTCAATAAGAAAGGGAACTTTGAATGCGGAGTAATTTCTGAGCAAGTTAAATACAGGCACAAAGCAACTCTGCTCTGAGTGGTCTGAGTTTCTGACAGAAATTGAGCTCCATAGGCGTGAGGGTTGCCTGCTGTAGCCAATGACAGGTCAGGGGAGGTCTGAGGAATTTAAACTCAAGGGTCTTTGAATTTCATTTTCCTTTGGGGGAAGAAAGGCCAGACATTTCCTTCTGATTGTTTACTCCTGAGAGTCTGGCAGCCTTTGGAGAAGGTCCTGATGGCCACTCGGGCAGGTACGGGGACAGGTGGCCTCGCCATGCACTTGGGACTGAGACGCTGCTGTGGTGGGAAAGGGACCTGCCTCTCCAGGCTCCTCAGGGGCCAGCTGCCTGGGGTGGCTGCTGCCTGAGCTCCGGACTCCACTCTCTTCAACTCCTTTGTCTGCAGCGCTGGTCTTGGGGTTCGACTGGGGGAAGTTCCTGAAGGATCACAGCTACAAGGCTGCTCCTGTCAGCTGTTTCAAGCACGTGAGTGCCCTGGCGGGGAGGGGAGAGGGAGCAGGGAACCCGGGGCTCACCACCCACCTCACCTCACTGCCTCGCAAACACGGTTCCAGGCTGGACGCTGCATTGGCACCGCGAGAGAACAGTGGTGGTGAAGCAGGGTCCTGGTGGTCGAAGTCCAGCTTTGTTACTCGTTTACCTTTCTGTTCACTTCTTTGCAAGTCTTCCCTCGGACCCTCACTGAGGGCTTCTAGCACTGCACTGCCCCTCTGAGGGGAACTTGTTATTTACATAATGGAACTTGGTGCTAGCTTATGTCTGAGCACCAGATTTGAACTCCTGTTCTCCTTTCTTCCCATTGTCCATGTTTCCCATTGAAAGCTTGGTGCTTCTGAACTACCCTGGGCCCCTTGGTCCCTGGGAGGCGGATGTGGATGCCTCCTGGAGCCCCTTCTGCAGGCGGCTCCCTGGCCCTATCATTGAGAAACACCAGCCGGGTGAGGCCCTGGGGGCTGGGCGTGGAGTGGAGGCACTGACTGTAGGCGGTGGTTGCAGGCTAGGAGGGAGGCCTAGAGCAGCACTCTTTTGTCTTTCAAGCCAATTTCCAAAACACCAGGAAATGTAGGTGGAGGCCTCTCACCAGAGTAAACCCGCCCCCTGGCCTCTCCTTTCTGAGCTGCTGCTGAACTCTGCAGGGTGCCCTGAACAGTGAAGAGCTGACCTTCGACTCCTCTGAATGGCTGGTGCAGGTGGCCTCTCCTAGTTGCCCTGAATTCTCTAGCACTCCTGGCGCCGGCACCTTCGCTGCAGGGGAGTTAACGGCACACTTGCATTTAACATGTCCGGTTCATGTGCTCTGGGAAAAGCCCGCCCCTGTGTGCCTGGTAGCATTCTGGGTCTATGATGAACCCAGTCTCTGTGGCCAGGGACATGGGGCAGGATACCCCGATTGGCTTAAGCAGGCTGGGATGCAGAAGAGGTGAGTTTCCCCGAAGGAGATGAGGTGCCATGGCAGCAAAGTGAGGGTTGGTCGGTGGGAAGGCACCCAAAAAGCAGCCCCTGCTGTCGGGGCACTTGTCCGGGCGGAGAGAGGACCAGCTGGAGGGGCGGGGAAAGAACACGCCGGAGTGGTGTGTGCTGGGCGGCTCTGTGAGCGCCCTGGGTCATGATCCTTACTGCCCAGGCTTGAGTGACGATTAAGGAGGTGATATTTGTGCCAAGAACAGGGTTTGGCACGTGGTAAGCACTAGCAGCTGTAATGTGTCGTGTAGGGTGGCATGCAGGCTGGCACAGGTGTGATGTGCTCAAGGTGCTACAGCAGGGGCTGGTCCTGTACCGACTAGTACTCGGGGCTGCCTGACTGATCTCTGACGTCACCCTGCCACCCCCATCTCCATTCCCTGACTGCTCTTCAAGGGCAGCAGACACCTTGCTCACCTCTTCCCCCCTCGTCCTGTGCCTGTTTTCCTCATCCAGTGTCTGATGCGAAAGGCGAAAGACACAATCAGTTGGGAAGCCATGGGGCCAGCGCTCTTCTCTGCCAGCCCAGGCAGTGACTTCACTGTTTCCTTTGGGTTCTCTCGTCCCCACCCAGGTCCCACTCTATGACCAGTGGGAGGATGTGATGAAGGGGATGAAGGTGGAGGTGCTCAACAGTGACGCTGTGCTCCCCAGCCGGGTGTACTGGATCGCCTCTGTCATCCAGGCCGCAGGTGGGTGTTCCTCTGGCCAAAGAGGAGCAGGGTCTGGAGAGGGGCATCTGTAGATGGGTGGGCAGTGCTGTGGGCAACAAAACCCCACCTGCTGGGGTTGCTGGCACCCTGGCAGCCCTACCTCGCCTGCCTTAGAGGGGACCACCGAGCTGGGTGAGTTTGGAAACTCCCATTTTTTTAAGGTTTATTCCACGGATACTCAAGCTATAGAAAATTAATTCTCCCCATTATGCCGCACTGCTTTCCAAGTAAGTGGCATGGGTTTGTTTTGGCCATGACTCGATGGACAGCAGAGACCACAGTGTCTGCAAGGAGTTCTTGGAGGTGGCAGCTGAAAGTCTGGGTTAGGCTTCGGAAGGAGGAAGGCCTAGGAACACACCTTTCCCCGTCGCGCCCTCCCTCACTGCGGCTCGTGTCCTCTCCAGGGTACCGAGTACTGCTTCGGTACGAGGGCTTTGAAAATGATGGCAGCCACGACTTCTGGTGCAACCTGGGCACCGTGGATGTCCACCCCATCGGCTGGTGCGCCATCAACAGCAAGATCCTGGTGCCGCCCCGGAGTGAGTTGTGAGGGTTCCGTGTGCTGGTTTCCGAGAGCCCTTCGGTTAGGCAGAACAGAACCCACTTGCCTCCTCTGTCCCAGAGGCCTCGTGGCAGCTCCAGGTTTAGAGCCTGATTGTATAGGATGAGGTGATTGCGGACCGAAAGGCAGAAATAAGTCGTCCATCTCCTGGGGTGGCTCTGGCGCCCCCTGTCCGTGGAAGTGTTGTCAGCGTATAACCAGGAATCTTCTGTCTCGCAGCCATCCACGCCAAATTCACCGACTGGAAGGGCTACCTCATGAAGCGGTTGGTGGGCTCCCGGACGCTTCCCGTGGATTTTCATATCAAGGTCTGGCACTGAGCCCTTTGGGTCTCCTAAGTGGTCTCCTTTCTGCGCCCCCTATTTGATGTACTTCCTGCTGCTTGTTGGTTCTTCCTAAGACCCTTGTTTAACAGTCCGTAGTGGCTCCATGGGGGCAGGCATTGTTACTAAGGTGCTACAAAAGCCATTCAGAGTCGCGGCCCGGTGAGGCCAGAGCTGGAATTGGATGGATGGAAGCAAAGGTGACTGCTCAGGAGGCTTGTGTGTGCCACCAGCAGGAGGCAGGCAGGAGAGGGGGTGTGGGACACCTGTGAGTCAGAACACAGGTCCCGGAAGGAGCACAAGGCTGGATACTGGGATCAGGTTCAAGGCTCAGCTCTGGCAGTAATGACTGTGTGACTCTGGGCAGGTCACCTGACCCTCTGGGCACCTGCTTCCTTAGTCTGTGAAGGGCTTTGTAATTCCCTGCAGGTTGACTTACTGGCACTCTGGTGTGCGCGTTGTGAGCTGCGTGCCTTCTCAGTGTCATCCTCAGGACGTGGAGGCCAGGGTGGAATCGGGGAACAGGAGGGCTCACTTCCTGACTCAGCGTTCGGGCGGCTCCACCCCACTTCCCTGTCCTCTGGTTGCTTGTACGAAGGTGGTGGCAGGCCGTGCCCACAGCAGGCCTGTGTTCTGATGTTGCAGATGGTGGAGAGCATGAAGTACCCCTTCCGGCAGGGCATGCGGCTGGAGGTGGTGGACAAGTCCCAGGTGTCTCGGACCCGCATGGCCGTGGTGGACACGGTGATTGGGGGTCGCCTACGACTCCTGTACGAGGATGGCGACAGTGACGACGACTTCTGGTGCCATATGTGGAGCCCCCTGATCCATCCAGTGGGTTGGTCACGGCGTGTCGGCCACGGCATCAAGCTGTCAGGTTAGCAGAGCCCCAGGCAGCCTGACCCCAGCTCTGCCACCCCAAGGCTGGGTGGGAGCACCTCTGTACCCCACAACAACGCCCTGTGGTATGGGTGCTCATCTCCACCCTGCAGTTGGCAATACTGAGGCCCAGAGAGGTTGAGTGACTTGACCAAGGTCACTCAGTTTGCAGGTGGTAAAACTGATTTGGAACTAGAGACCACAGGCCCCATCTTCCCCCTGTCACCTGGGAGGAGAATGGGTCTTGGGCTAATAGTTCCCATAGAGCATGCCTGACGCTCTTGTCTTCTAGTCCAGGCGGGTGGGGGCTGAGACACAGATCACAGCATCTGCAGGGCAGCACCTGCGTTTCTGGGGAGTGTAGTGATGGCCCTGTTAGCAGCCTTCAACTCCCTTCTCTCCCTCACTCCCTCTGCCATCTCCCCAAAAGAGAGGCGCAGCGACATGGCCCATCATCCCACCTTCCGGAAAATCTACTGTGATGCTGTTCCTTACCTGTTCAAGAAGGTGAGGCACAGCTCTTCGGCCCTTTCCCCTTGATCTTGGGTCCAATCCAGGCCTTAGGACCCTGGCCCTCCCTGTTCCCTTCCCAGGCCTCTGGCAGGAGAGACCTGCTCCCTGCACTTGGGCTGTCCCAGGTGCCCCAGCTGTCCCATTCCTTTAAGGTTCGCGCTGTCTACACAGAAGGCGGTTGGTTTGAGGAGGGGATGAAGCTGGAGGCCATCGACCCCCTGAATCTGGGAAACATCTGCGTGGCAACCATCTGCAAGGTGAGCCTGTGGCTGCCTCAACCTCCAGACGGCTCAGGGGAGGGAGCTGGTGCAGAGCCCTCACTCCATGTCCACACATTCCGGCTGCCTGCTCCTGGAGCCCTAAGTTCCGTGAGCTCCCCACTGAGAACACAGTGGCACCAAGACAGACATGGGCCCTGTGGGCATGGATTATTGTCCAGTGAGGAGGGTCAGTAATCTCAAGCATAGGCTTCAGAGTGCCGTAGCTGGAGCAGCAGCTCAGGGGAGCCATGGCCTCATGTCCCACCACAGCCACCTTGCCCTGGGATGGGGTACAGCTCATGATACTATGTTCTCTGGGTACCCCTCTCGACCACCCCCAGGTTCTCCTGGATGGCTACCTAATGATCTGTGTGGATGGGGGGCCCTCCACCGACGGCTCGGACTGGTTCTGTTACCACGCCTCCTCCCACGCCATCTTCCCAGCCACCTTCTGCCAAAAGAATGACATTGAGCTCACACTCCCAAAAGGTAAGACTGGCCTGACCAGGCTACAGGTGCCCCTTTGGCTGGTGCTCCCTCCTCGACTCCTCCCACTCCCCCTCCTCCTCCCCCTCCCCCTCCTCCCTCCACATCTCCTTCTGCTCCTCAGGCTACGACACACGCACTTTCAACTGGGACACCTACTTGGAGAAGACCAAGTCAAAAGCAGCTCCATCGAGACTCTTTAACATGGTGAGGAGACTGAGGACTGGGCACTTGGGTGACCTCGGATTGGCCCTGCCCACTGTCAGCGAGTATCTGCTGCTGAGATCAGCCACTTCCAGGGAGAGGGCCCCGCTCTGACACAGGCACCACGCCCCAATAGTCCAGCGGTCCCTTTCCCACAGGGACTGGTGCTTGGGCACAAAGTACAGGGGGGCCATTGGTCAGAGTCCCCTGCAGGCACTCACCACTGGGGCAGGGAGCTGGCTGGCTAGGTCACTGCCTTCTTCCTCCTCCCAGGACTGCCCCAACCACGGCTTCAAGGTGGGCATGAAGCTGGAAGCCGTGGACCTGATGGAGCCCCGGCTCATCTGCGTGGCCACGGTGAAGCGGGTGGTACATCGGCTCCTCAGCATCCACTTTGATGGCTGGGACAACGAGTATGACCAGTGGGTGGACTGTGAGTCCCCGGACATCTACCCCGTCGGCTGGTGCGAGCTCACCGGCTACCAGCTCCAGCCACCTGTGGCCACAGGTCTGGGTTCTTGCAGCCCTAAGGGGCTCCTGACTTTCATTTTTCCTTCCTTCCAACCACGCCCCCTGCCCCATGCCCACCTCATTCTGTGGCATGAGATCGAGAAGTCTCCTGGCCCACCCTTGCTCCTGACTTCTCTGTCTCCCTTTCCCTCTGGCCTGCAGAGTTCCTTCCTTGATCTTGCCCACTCTGTCATATGCTCGTGCCCTTATGCACCCAGGTAAACTACCCAGGTCCCTCGGCGCAGCCCTGGTGACGAGGGTGGGAAGGGACAGCTGCTCTCCAGTCCCTCCCCCAGCCCCTTCCCCTTTCTCATGTCCAACTTTGGCTTTCCTTCTTGGGGTGTCCCAAGTGTCAGGGAGGCTATGAGGGGTGGGCAGGGGTCTCGGGATGTGCCTCTACCCTGTGTCCTCTCAGAACTCTCTCCTCACCTCTTGTCCTTTTCTTTCAACAACAGAGCCAACCACACCTCTGAAGGCCAAAGAGGCCACGAAGAAAAGAAAGAAGCAGTTTGGGAAGAAAAGTAAGTGGCTCTAAAGCTGCCTGGGCTGGTGTGGGACCTGGGTCAGCAGGGCCTGTGGCCCTGGGAGCAGAGCTTGGGTGTTGTCACTTAGGTCATGACGACGGTCCCTCCATCTCCTCCCTTCCCATTTGGCCCCACGGGCCATCATCCTGTCTTCAGTGACCCAGAGCAGAGTAGGGAGCCTTTAGTCCCTGGCAGTGGTCAGATGCCAGGAAAAGACAGGAGGTTGTATTTGAGAGCAAGAAGGGGAGGGAGGGGCCCCATGCTGCCCATGACAGGAACCGGCCCCTCTGCTGTGCTCAGCTGCTGGGTGTGGAAGTCAGAGGTGCTGGAGGAAACGAAGCTGCTCCCCAGGCTGCCGGTCTTCCCTCTGCCCCCTCAGGGATGGGAGCAAGGGCAGCCACAGCTTCAGGGTCACTTCCCCTGGCGGCGCCACTCTCAGCAGGTCCTGAGTCCAGCAGGGGCTTGGCTCGGGGCAGCCGGTTGGAGGGGGCAGGGAGTAGAGGAGGGTGGTGGTGAGGTAGCCTCCATGACGGGCACCACCCAGAGAAGAGGTGCCCGCAGTGGGAGGCTGCGGAGCAAGATTAAGGTTGTGAAGGGCTCTGAGCCTCGGGCACAGGGCCCGAGGGGTGAGGTCAGTTCAGGCCAGTTCCCCTAAATCGGTACCGTCCCCTCTGCTCTGCTGCCCAGCCGCTGGATGAGATCCAACCTTCAAGCCTCGCATGGATGTGACCCTAATGCTGGGTTTAATTCCGATTTTATTCAAAGGGAAAAGAATGCCACCGACCAAGACGCGGCCTCTGAGACAGGGGTCCAAGAAGCCCCTGCTGGATGAGGACCCACGGGCCACAGAGAAGGTCTCGGCGGGGGCTGCTCCCGATGAGAGTAAGAGCCCAGGGCGGGCTGGCGGGCCGGGCGGCCTGTGGCAGGGCTCAGGGGCCGCGCCTCTCCTTCCCCACCTGGCACAGAAGGGTACAGTCAATTTTGAAGGGAATTTTCTGGGCACCAAGCAGCCCTTCTCAGACCACTGGGCAGAAGAGCTTCCGAAACACCCACCCCCAGATCTGAGCGGAGCCAAGCAGCTCAGCCTGGCCTTTCCACCTCTGCCCACCTCGTGCTTGGCAGGGTGGGCGGCAGAGGGGCAGGTGCAGCGTCTCTGGCACAGCCAGCCTGGCGGGCATGACGGGGCCTGGGCCTTCTCCGCACCTCATCCTGAGACCCCCATCTAGGGAGTGAAATCCCTTCCCCAGATCCGGAGCCCCCACCCTCCCAGTGTTACATGCACAGCCTCTCTCTCTCCCCCCACCCCCACTTCCTCCCTCTTTAGTCATCGCTGTGCGCGTGAAGGAAGAGCATGTGGAAGCGGCCACGCCTGGCAAGGCCCTGAGTCCAGAGCTGCCTGTTTCCATTGAGAACATCAAACAGGAGGCAGACGACTGAGCCGCCCCTGCTGCCAGCCTGGCCACCGGGGCGGCCAGCGCAGGCTCCTCTGTCGCCACCTCCCTTCCACCCTCCTCAGTTTGGAGACTCAGCCTTTTTGCATAAATACCGCCTGGTGCTGAGGGCCCGGCACTGAAGGATGAGCCGGGTCTCCTTTGACCTGCCTTGTGACCTCTGCCCTCTGGCAAGGCCTAGTGACTGGGGCTGCCTGGGGTCCCCACATGGTCGGAGTGGCTCCCTCTCCAGCTGCAGTTCCTGAAGCTCTCCCTTCCAGTCGCCCCCTCCACACCCCTCAGCCGCCGGGGTTGGGGGCTGTGGCCTGGGCTTGCCACACTGCAAGACAAAACAGTGAAGTGTGCGTGCGCCTGTGTGTGCGGCCCAGCACGGCACATAGATAAAGGCCTGCAGCCGCTCTTGAGGGGGAGGCCTCGCCTGGTTGGGGTGAGTGGTGTGATGGTCTGAACATTTTACCAAGTGGCCTGTCTTGCCTCCTGGGCTGTGCTCTTTGCTCTCAGCTCCGCAGGGACAGCCATGTCTGTCGGGCAGCTGAGAAGCAGTGACCAGGATGTGGGTTTCAGTGGCTTGTGAGGCGTCCTTGACCTATGTTCTATGTTGGCAGGAGCATCAGTTCCCATTTCTAAAAGGGCAGAGGTGGGGTGTGCTCCCTGGCTGGGGGTTTGCAGGGACCTAGCGAGGGGAAGACCACGCCAGCCCGTGCCCCTGGGGGAGCAGCAGGTGTGGGAGCCCCACCTGATTGGGAGACGACCTCCAGCCTCGATCTGAACCTGCTCCAGAGGCCGGCTGGGGCCTGTCCTTGTCACTCCCCTTCTGTGAACCAGGGTCAGAGGCACAGGGCTGCGAGGGGAGTGTCAGCCCTTCTGGCGGAGGAGCCCGTGCAGGAGCTCCGGAAGCAGGGAGCAGGGGTAACAGGACACACTTCCTGGTTCCCTCTCCTCTGCTGTCCAAACCCTTAACTCCTTAACACGGGTTTCCCTGCTCCTCTCGGAAATTACATTCTAGTTCACCTCCTGTTTGCCCAAATTAGTCTCCTTTGAAACTGTCTCCTTTCTGATCAGTCCTGTCTCTTCATTCGCTCCCCTTTCTGGAACCTAAGGCGGAAGCTGCAGGCCTCAGCCCTTTTCTTTCCTCTGCTGTGGGTAGGGAGCCGCACTGTCAGGGTCCACCTCTAAGGCACAGCTGTGCTGGCCCGGAGTCCAGCTGCCGCCTCTGAGCTGGTCAGTCAGGCTGCTGTGGCCTGTGTTTGACACACGGGGTGCTGTCTGCTTGCTCAGGGCCTGGCTATGTGGTGTCATCCCAGGGATGGGTGATCAGCCCAAGGGGAGCCAATTTCCAGTCAGTGGAGAGAACGTGGTCTGCTCTCCTTTTCTGAAGGCATTAGGCAGCCCCACACGGTGCAGAAACGAGCCCCAGAAAGCTTGTTGGTGCAGCCTGATTTCTCCAAAAAGCGACTAGATTTGCAAATAGCGAAGGCCAAAAGCAGGGACAGACCTGGGTGTGACAGGCCTTGGCATTCACCCCCAGGGACGAAGATGGCCCAGGTGTTCCTGTGGCTTCTGGGGAAACTGGAATCGTATGACACTTTGGCCTTTAGTTCTTGAATGAAGAAGTGACGCCTATAGGTGCCGTGGGCACAAAAGCTCCTGACGGTGGATTCTGACGGCGGAGCTGAAGGACAAGTTTAGCTGCCACTCAGGCCCTGGACTGGCCTCCCCAGACAGTGAGATAATGAAATCCCTTACTTGCTGAAGTCCAGTTTGTCTGATCTTTGTTCCTTACAGCAGCGTGTATTCTGATATACCGCCTCATAGTAACAATTGCGAGGTGAGTTCACATGTGAAGAAGCAATAAAGAATAAATGGCACCTGTCTCCTGAGCACCTGTCTCCATAGCAACCACACATAGTGCCCTTACTTCTGCCATTCCCCTCCCCCAGACCCTGAGTTCCCCCAAGGCCGAGCGCCAGTGATGGCGAACCTATGACACAGCGAACTCATTTTTTTGGTTGATTTTTTTTTTAAATGGCATTTAAATATATAAAATAAATATCAAAAATATAACTCTTTGTTTTACTATGGTTGCAAATATCAAAAAATGTCTATATGTGACACGGCACCAGAGTTAAGTTAGGGTTTTTCAAAATGCTGACACGCCGAGCTCAAAAGTTTCGCCATCACTGGCCTAGCCTGTGCCTTGTCCCTCGTGCCCTCTGCATGGGCCTGGTACAATGAGTGTGTACGACATGAAAGGGTATGGATGGGGCCTAAAGGTCAGTTTGATGTGTCGCAGGTGCAAGAGTTGACCTCTGGGCATTCTTCCCCAGGGCACAGAATGACCCTGTGTCTCAGCTCCCGGATGGTCTCAGTGAGGCTGCTGGCTGGGAACCTCCTGAAGGCCCTTCTGAGTCCCTGCTTCTGCTGGACATGCCGCGGTTCCCGGTGCCGATTCGTCAAGTCCAAATGCACCTCACACTTTCCTGCCATCTAGTCCAGACCTTCTCTGCCCAAGGGACTGAGAAGCAAGGGGACGGCCGTTTATGAAAACTTCACATGCCAGCCCTGGTTTATACACATTTACAGCTTCATCTCCATAGGGGCCTGCAAGGAACATGCCTTCATTTTACAGACAGGAAAGGCTCCTGAAGGTCTAGTAACTTGGTTGCTTAAATTTACTACTTAAATGACAGCAGCGGGATTAAACGCTGGCTGATCAGCCATTTTGCTGCTGCACTTCATTCCCTCAACACTAAGCATCTTCCATGTGCTGGGCCCCAAGCTAGAGGTGAGGCTCCAAGGAGAGGCAAGGTCAGCATCCCGACACAGAGCATCCTGCCACAGCTCAGGACCCTTATCCTTCAATTCCTTTGTGTTCCTGGGAGAAAACTGCCACTTTCAACAAAATAAAAACAAGCCCAGAACTCCAGACTCCAGGCTGGCCTTTGGTGGGATATCTGCATCTCAGGAAGGGTGGCTGGAGGGCATGGTCTGAGGTATCCCCATTCCTGCCGCACCACCGTACTCTGTGTGTGTGTGTGTGGGGGGGGGGGGGGTTCCTTTGAGCTAAAGCCCTGGCCTGGAGCTGGGGCCGGCAGGTGTGCTCCAGGAGCTCCGGGCTGGCACCGGGAGAGCCCCGTGCCGTTCGTCAGCACGAGCCTGGCTTAAGTCCATGCACACAAGTGTCAGCTGGCCTCTGCTGCCGCTGTAACCACTCTTCCAGGCCTTGCTTCTACGGCAGAACTGCTCACCTTCAGCTTAGGGTCCTATGAGGGGTTCCTTTCTACCCCCACAAGGAACACTGTTAGGGGTTGCATTATGTCCTCCAGAGAAATACCTCAGAATGAGACCTTATTTAGAAATAGAAACTTCACAGAGGTAATCAAGGTCAAATGAGGTCATTAGGGTGGACCCTAACCCAATAGGTCTGTGTTCTTATAAGAAGGGGGCACAGGATGTCGCGAGATGATGTGAAGACAAGGAGATAACAGAAGTTGGAGCTGTGCTGCCACAGGCAAGGAGCATCTGGGGCCCCCAGAAGCTGGAAGGAGCGGGAAGGACCCCCCCAGAGCGTCAGAGGGAGCATGGCCATGGCCATGCCGTGGTTCAGACTTGTGATCTCTGGAGCAGTGAGGTGATAAACATACCGTTTGTGGTACGTGGTTCTGCAGCCCCAGGGAACTGCTCCATCATCTGACGGTCCCCAGGCACCCCAAATCTTCCGATGCGGGTCCTCTCCCTCCCAGTGCCTCCTTGTTCTATTCTCATTTCCCTCTGAGGACTGGCTGCTCCCCTATAGACCCTCCCGCCCCCAGTGCCCTCACCACCCAGCACGGGCCCCACCTGGAGAGAGGCGCCCGCATCTCGCTCACTCTCCTCTGATGTGCTGAGATCTGGCTACAGCTGATCTTTCAGGTGTGAATGCATTTGTCAGGATGGTGAACACTGTGCCCAGGGGCTGACGGACTGCCGCAGAGTGGAGTCCAGCTGGTGGCCGAGCAGCAGGGGGCATCGGCACTGCTGGCCTGCCCGCCCCAGGAACAGCCAGGCCCTCGAGGTCAGAGTGGGAAATGGCTGAGTCAACAGGGATCCAGCCTTTCAGTGACAGTGGGATTGATTTCACGAACACATCGGTCCAGTGTGCTGTGGCCTAGCGGAAAGGCCACTGTCCCAACAGGATGAAATCACGTGAAGCAGCGAGTCCGACTGGCCCACCCCAGGCCCAGCCCAGAGGTAGAGGAGGTGAGGAGGCGGGCATGGGCATTCCTGAATGGAGGCAATGGGTCCTTGCCCAGATCTAGAACCACATGAAACTGAGACCAAGAGAAGTCAGAGCCCTGCTGCCCGGGAGCTCGGGAACCTGCCCCACCCCCCACGGCCTCCCCCCACCTGCCAACCTTGTCTGCTCCCTGCCGACTTCCCTTCACGCGGGTTCTCCGGGCACTGGGCATCCGCTTGGCCTTCCTGGAAGCCCAGCTCGGGCAGGCTTCAAAGGCAGCAACTGCAGCCTTCACCCTCTGGCCGCGGGCACTGGGCGGGGCGGCACAGGTGGCCCCCACGTGCAGGTTCAGCCCAGTGAGCCACCTGAGGAGAAAGAGTTCGGGGAACCCACGGTGCTGAGCTTTCCTGAGGCGAGGGCCTCGGGAATTTGGGGCAGTGGGGCCTCGTGCCTGAGAACTGACTCCAGAGAATCCTGGTTCGGCCGCTCACCAATTATGTGACCCTGAGCAAGTCACTTCCAACTTCACATCCCTTCTCTGCAACAAGAGGGCAGTCGTGGTGATAAACACTTACGCAGGGCTGTAATGGCTCACACCAATCTATACACTAGATTGTAACTAATTCAATGTAACTGCTAACAAGCCGCCGCCATGAGGTGGACACGATTACTATCAGCCCCTTACAGAAGAGGGTTGTGTGGCCCAAATCAGATGGCCAGACAGGCAGGAATCCAGGTAATTGTTGCTTTCTCATGTAATTATGTGAAGTGCCCACGAATATTGATGAGGTCCGGCCCCGCTGGGCTGGGCAGATCTCATTCCCACTCTATGGCTGAGGGACTCGAGGCTCAGAGAAGCCACCCCAAGCTGTACCCTGGAAGGACCCCGCTCCCCGAAAGCTGCTCAGCCGGGCAGACACGGGGCCCTGGAGAGCCAGTGGGGACTGGACTGAGAGCAGCTGGCGGGTCCCGCTGGGGGTCCAAGTGGAGGTGCTCACCTGTGAAGTGGGAGCAGCTGGCAGTCACAGCGGAAGGGATTGCCACTGAGGTCAACCAGCTCCAGCTGGCTGAGCCCCGGCAGGGCGGGCAGGACCTGCAGCTGGTTCTTCTGCAGGTGGAGGCTCTGCAGCCTGGGCCCCAGGCCTGAGAAGGCCCCGGGAGAAACCTGCAAGGAAGAGCCAGGCCCTGGGGTGAGCTCCTATCCGGCCAGGGAGGGAGGCCCGTGCTCCCCTAGCACAAGGCAGTGGGGACCCTCAGGTGGCCAGGCAGGAGGCAGCGCCTGGGTGGAAACGTAGGTGCCTCTGACGCCAAAGCGCTTGCCCTTTGCAAGTCACCTGGACCCGGTCACGGTGCTTTTTGCTTTGCCTGAGCCACCCCCACCCCCATCGCGGCAAAGCCCCTGAGGCTCCACCCTGCCTCACAGTGCACAACAGTAGGGGACCCTGAGTCCCCGCCTCCTCCCTCCTCGGAGCCCCAGCAGTGCCCTGCCGGGCTGGCAGTGTTTGTTGAGTGAATGTTCCCTACATAGGACCAAGCTGCCCCCGTCACCCCCCCCACCCCCACCCCCCGCGCCCACCTGCTCCAGGCCACTGCTGTTCAGGAAGAGGTGCTGCAGCGACCGGCCCACAGGCCGGAAGGCGCCATCCCGCAGGGCCCTGAGCGGGTTCCCCGAGAGCTGCAGCTCCAGGAGGGCAGGCAGCCCCTCCAGGGCCCCCGTGGGCACCTCTCGCAGCTGGTTCCTGTCGAGGTGCAGCTTCTCCAGCTCCGGAGCGGGGCCCAGGGCGCCGGGGGACACCTGGGAGAGGCGGTTCCCGCTCAGGTAGAGCCAGCGCAAGGCCGGCGCGCCCGCCAGGTCCCCGGGCGCCAGGCGCTCCACCGCGTTGTCCTGCAGGTGCAGGGAGAAGAGGCGCGGCAGGGCGCGCAGGGCGGCCCCCGGCACCTGCAGGAAGCGGTTGCGCTCCAGGTACAGGTAGCCCAGGCGCGGGGCCCCTTCCAGGGCGGCGGCGCCCAGGCCGGAGAGCTGGTTGTCGGAGAGGTAGAGGTAGAGCAGGCTGCCCAGCCCGGCCAGGGCGCCCGCCTCCAGCGCCGCGATGCCGCAGTGCTGCAGGTGCAGCGACACCAGCTGGCCCAGGCCCGGGAAGGCCGCGCGGGGCACCGCCGGGAAGCGGTTCCGCCGCAGGTCCAGGAGCTGGGTGTCGCCGGGGAAGCCGCGGGGCACGGCCTGCAGGCCTCGGCCCTCGCAGCCGCTGTGCCGGGACGCGGAGGCGCACACGCAGGCGCGCGGGCAGGGCTGGGCCGCGCCGTCCTCCTCCGCGGGGCCCGGAGGGGCGCGGGGCCGCGCGGCCGCCGGCTCCTCATCCTCGGCCGGGTCCTCGGCCGGGTCCCCGGGGCAGCGCAGGTCCGCGGGCCGCAGGGCGTCCAGGGCCTCGCCCCGCAGGCGCCGGGGGCCTTGGCACGCGCCATCGGAGTGCACGCGCGCCCGCGCCAGCCACTCGAGCAGCGGCCGGGCCTGGCAGCCGCACCACAGCGGGTTCCCCTGCAGCCTCAGCCGGCGCAGCTGCCCCGGGCCCTGCAGCGGCGGCAGCGTGTCCAGCTGGTTCCCGCGGAGGTCCAGGGTGTGCAGGCGCGGGCAGTGGGCGAAGGCCCGGGCGTCCAGGGCCTGCAGGGCGCCGTGGTCCAGCACCAGCTCCCGCAGGCCGGGCAGGGCCAGCCCGTCCTCCTCGCCCGCGTAGGTGAAGGGGTTGTGGCCCAGCTCCAGGCGCGCCAGGCCGCGGGCCTGGGACAGAGCCGCGCCGGGCAGGGCCTGCAGCTCGTTGTGGTGCAGGCTGAGCCTGCGCAGGGCGGGCAGGCCGGCCAGCGCCTCGGGGGCCAGCACGCTGAGCGCGTTGTGGGCCAGCCGCAGCCCGCGGGTGCGCAGCAGCCCCTGGAAGGCCATGGCGGGCAGGTAGACGAGGGCGTTGTGCGCCAGGTTGAGGGTGACCAGTGCGCCCAGCGCCCCGAACGTCCCCGGCCGCAGCTCCTCCAGCAGGTTCCCCTCCAGCTCCAGCCGCCGCAGGGAGCCCAGCCCGTCCAGCGCCTCCTGGGGCAGCGCGCGCAGGCGGTTGGAGGCCAGGTTGAGGAAGAGCAGGCGGCCCAGGCCGCGGAAGGCACCCTCGGCCACCAGCTCCACCTGGCAGTGCCGCAGGTCCAGGTGGGTCAGGTAAGGCAGGTCCTGGAAGGCGGCTGGGCCCAGCACCTTCAGCAGGTTGCCCTGGAGGTCCAGCCGCTGGGTCAGCTGAGGGGGAGGGGAGAGGAGACTGAGCACCACAAGGAGGAGTGCGACCTGTGCCCCTGGACACGTCTCCTCCCCCTCACCTCTCTCTCATTCTCCTCCTGCTCCCTGACACCTCCTCCAGGGAGCCTTCCTCCCCAGCCACCTGGGCCTCCCCAGCTCTGGCACTTTTTGCATTGAATTATCACTGCCTGTGTACTTTTATTTCTTTTTTAAAAATATTTTTATTGATTTCAGAGAGGAAGGGCGAGAGAGAGAGAGAGAGAGAGAGAGAGAGAGAGAGAGACATCAATGATGAGAATTATCGATTGGCTGCCTACTGCACAGCCCACACTGGGAATCGAGCCTGCAACCCAGGCATGTGCCTTGACCAGGAATCGAACCGTGACCTCCTGGTTCATAGGTCGACACTCAACCACTGAGCCACACCGGCTGGGCATGCCCATTTACTTTTGTCCCCACTAGTTCTTGTGTCTCTAGAGCAGACACCATATCTTCCTCCAGTATATCTCCTGTTCTCTGCCACAGGGTCTGTAATTAATTCAGTATTTTTAGGTCAACTACTTATGCCAATCACAGAGGATTTTAAATAGCTTGTCTTCTTGTTGTTGCTTATTATCATTCCCATTTTACAGATGTGAAGACTGAGGCTCAGAAAGGAAAAGTGACTTTCCAAGGTCTCCTCCCAGCCAGGCAGAGGCAGGTCCTCTCATGCCAGCCAGAGTCCTCCTGCCATCCTCCCCCACCCCCTCACCCTGCTGACCTCAGGGATGGCGTTGGGCACCTCAGTGAGGTTCTGGTGCCGGCAGGCCACATGCCGCCTGGAGTTGTCACAGACACAGGTCTGTGGGCAGCGCTGGGCGGCTGTGTGCCCAGTTGGGCCCAGGGGCAGCAGCAGAAACAGCAGCAGGACCGAGGAGATGCTTTGGGGACTGGGGGAGAGAGGGAGAGCCCGTGTTCACAGGGGCCAGGGTCCCACATTGTCCACTCACGGAGCCCAGGCTCTGGTCCTTTGGCCCCAGGGAAGGTGTCATTCCCCCCCCCCTCCCCCACGCAGCAGAGGTTCTGTTGTTAGCCTTGCTTTATGCTGGAGGAAACTGAGGCTCAGAGAGGTGACCTGGCACCTGCCTTTGGCTGTCAGCCCTGTGGGCACCAAGGCCTTGCTAAATCCTAGAACGCCTCTGGGTTCAGTCTGTGCAGCTGTAGGGAGGCTCCCAGTCCAGGGAGGCCTGGACCTCCCAGCCGAGGTGGGAGGTGTAGGGAGAAGCAGCCCCCGTGGTGGCAGGGAGCATAATGACACTCACCTCAAGAAGACAGGCTGCCAGCCAGAGGGGAGGGCTTAGGTCCAGCCCAGGTTGTGGGGTAAGATTTGGGGGACCAGGAATTATGGGGTCCGAGAGCCTTGAGGAGCCTTAATGGCTGGTCAGAGCCACCTGACAGGCTCAGCCCTCTCCTCTCCTATTTATTCCCTGTTGTCCTCTCATTTTAGTGTCATTAGCTGGCCAGGACCGGGAAGGGAAACTGAGGGTCTGGGATTAGGGCTGAGCTTTGGGCAAGGTCTATCCACTTACCTGTCTGTCCCCGGTCTGTCCCTCCACTTCCACCCCCACTCCTCCATCACCCACTGGGACCTCTTCATATCACAACGTCAGCCACTGCCTATTGCTTCCTGGGGACAGTCGCTGCCACAGTGTGTCTCCTGCCTCCGCAACGCTCCGCTCACCCCCAAAGGACCTTTCCAAAGTACAGACGGGCCCTGACAGCCCCGCTGAAAGCCCTCAGCACCTCCCAGCTGCCTGTGATGGGAAGTCCAGCTCCTGGTTCCAGTGGGAATCTGCTCAAACACTTGAGGTTCAGCGTGTGGCTCCCCCACCCTAAGCCCAGGGCTCCCTCCTCACCTGCAACACCTATCGCATCGGCTCTTCCTTCTGTTTACAGCTCTGTCAGGGCCCCTAGCAGCCTGTCCTGATCCCTGGACTCCGTTCCACCCTGGGCCTCCCCCATTTCCACTCACTGCTTTGTCACCAACTGTTTTTCACTCTCTTTGGGGTCTCAGGGCTCAGCCCTGGCCTTGGGGCTGGTGGCATCCCCTAGTCTGTGGCGAGGCTGAGGCTCAGGGTGGACCAGGGAGGGGGGCCTGGAGGAGGGGACAGATCCCTGAGGGACAAGCCCCCTCCCTGCCTCCTTGGAACCCATTTCGAGGCGACCCTTGGAGTCTCTGCCCAGGCAGATCCCAGAGGCCGGGAGAGGGGCGGGGTGGGCTGGGTGAGGGGAGGGCTTGCCTGCAGCCGCTCAGCTTCTCTACTGCCCCCCCACCCCGACTCCCGGGGCCCGAAGACTCACCCCTCCATGCCGTCTCACGGGCAGTCCAGCCTGGAAGAGCAGCAGCACAAGGGAAAGGCTGCGTCTGTCCCTGTCTGGATGCTGGCAGGAGCCCCCTCCCCGCCTGCAGGCCTGGCAGCGGGGACAGGGCTGAATGGGAGGCATTGTGGGCAGCTCAGCAGAGGCTGAGGTGAAGGAGGGGCGGGCAGGGGCGGGAGCTGCGGCTGGAGTTACACGGCCTCCTGCCCAGCGCCAGCTCAGGATTCTGGCCCAGGCCTGAGGGCCGGGCCTGGGCAGCCAAGTCTCAGGACGGCCCGGCAGGGAGGGGCCTGGAGGGGCTGAGGGGCCTCCCCTGTGGGGTCCTGTGTGGGGCTGTGCCTCACGGAGCCTGTTTCCTACTCTGTGAGGAGAAACCATAATTAGTAACTAGCTCAGCGGATTCCTGTGGGCATTGAATTAGGCACCTGGCACATAGTAGGTGCTTAAGAATGGCTAACTCTCTGTCCCGTTTGTGATGAAACATTACCACATCGTTTAATGCCATGCATACAGCTTCTGCAATGTTTCTTTCCACTCAGTATCAGATTATTGTAAGCTATTCAAATTGATCCTTAGCCATACTCATTCATTTTGACAGCTGTATAGTATTTCCTGGTATAAATGTATCAACTTTACTTACCCATTAATTTCTTACTTCCAAGTTTTTGCTACAGTGTTGCAAAAAATATACAAATAATTACCTTCTTGGAAACATGTGTTTTTATGTATTTATTTAGGTTAATCTCACTTGAATATTTTTTCCATTGAATTTTCGAGAGAGTGGAAGGTAGGGGGAGAAGGAAAGAGAAAGATAGCTGGGAATCAAACTTGCAACCCTTTGGTTTGAGGGCTAACGCTCTAACCATTGAGCACACAGTTGCATTTTTAAATGAAATAGTTCATCCAGACCATAGCAAACATGAAATTGCACTTTTCATTATTTTAATTGACTTAACTTTTAAACATATTTTTTAAAATTGATTTCAGAGAGGGAGAAGGGGAAAGAGAGATAGAAACATCAATGATGAGAATCATTGATCGGCTGTCTCCTGCATGTCCCGACTGGGGGTCGAGCCCCCAACCCAGGCATGTACCCTTGACAGGAATTGAACCGAGGACCCGTCAGTCCACAGGCCGACGCTCTATCCACTGAGCAAAACCAGCTAGGGCCCGTTTTATTTTTACTGATTTCAGAGAGAGGGGGAGAGGGAGAGATAGAAACATCAATGATGAGAGAGAATCATCCATCGGCTGCCTCCTGCACGCCCCCTACTGGGAATCAAGCCCAAAACCTGGGCATGTGCCCTGACCGGGAATTGTGGACTGGCCTCGTGGCTCATAAGTCAATGCTCAACCACTGAGCAACACCAGCTAAGCTTTTGTTTCTTGTTTAAGCAGAAATAGACCCCCATCACACACAACCTGTGCTATTTCACTCAGCAAATCCCCTATCAACGGAAACACGGTGCACACCCTTTATGTCCAGCTTTCTTCACTCAACGTTTAGTCTGTGAGACTCACCTGTGATGCTGTTTTTTAATGTGTTCATTTTCATATGGCCTTCCAGCATCCCCTCTGTAAGGACTCCACAACAGTGGCGGTATATTCTCAACACGAGTCCTTGTTTTATGCTCCCCATGTTGCCAGGTCTTTCCACTCTCTCACCTTGTCTTCACTTCCATGGTATTTTCCCATCACACAGGCCAAGGCCCCATTTTAAGCTTTTTGTGTGTCCAAAACACTGCTCTCCTGTGTTCTATTTCCACTTGAAGAATATGGCTCTGAGGTGGATGGACTTGGGTCACTTTGAATGCTTGGTGCTTCCACCCCACCCTGTCTGTCCCCTGCCTTTCCCAGACTAAGTCCTATTGTGAATGCTGGGTTTAGCGCCCCTTTCATTGATAACAGCATCGCACATACATACGGATGCCTAAACACACATTAACGTGCTACTGCATCGCCCTGAGATTTTCTTCACTCAGCACCGCATGGACTCACCTGTGGCGTGCGTGGAATGCTCCCACCTAGCTGACACGTTTTCACCGTGTGGACCCTCCACTGGCCCGCATCGCATCTGACCCATTTCCCCGATACTGGCTCCTGCCATCAGGATGTGCGGCTAGGGGCACCCCTGACCACACTTCCTGGGCTTTCCTAGCGGAGCTTCAGAATGGGATTGGTGGGTTAGCCCCGAGCCAGAGGTGGTGTTCCCTTCAGTGGGGACCGCCTGGTGCTGAGCAGGCCCTTCACACGTGGGGCTCCCAGGCCAGAGCTCCTATGATCTTGCAGACCCCCAACCACGGTGCTTAGGGACTTGCAGCCTCTGCAATCTCAGGGTTGGCTAGAGCTCTCAGGACACAGCGCTCTCCCGAACCTGCAGCCAGTGCGGGGGTCCCCACAGCTGAGCTGGCCTGAGATGAGTGGGGCTGGGCAGTCAGAGCCTGCACCCCTGGGACCGAGAGGAAAGGACAGCCAGGCTAGGAGCCTCGGACAGGCCCTACTCAGCCCTGAGCCTATCTCTCCACCTGTCAGTGTCTCCTGTGAGAAGTCCTATTTGAACCTCAAGACTCAGCTCTTGCATCCCTAACTCTGGAGCTTCCCTGCCCTCGCTGCCACTGTCCCCACGATGGGCCTCGATTGTGGGTCTCCTGCACTGGCCTGGGGGCTCCCCAAAGGCAGCCGGCAGCTCCAGAGCCCAGCATTCCCGAGGCAGAGGTCTTGCCCTGCTCCTCCTCCACCTGGTGAGGGTCACCTGAGTGGCCCATAGCCAGTAGGAAAACCTGCCCCCAGAAAACCTAGAGGAGCTCTCCATCCAGTGGACCCCAGGGTGCCTGCTCTCCCGGCATGAGGTGAGGAGGGTCTGCGGGCCTGTCCTTCCACCACATGTGGCAGGAAAGACCCTCCAGGGAGGTGTCCTCTCGTCCAGGCCCCACAGCCCAACACCCTTCAGTGGCTTCAGCCAGGCCCAGCCCTGTGCAGTGACCTTGCTGGCCAGCCCAGGGGGTCCTGACTGCAGACAGCGGAGCCTGTGGTGAAGTCAGCAGTGTCCAGCTCAGCCAGGCCCACAGATGGGGCAATGCTGGGACCCGCGGCGCTGGGCTCAGGGAGGGGGAGGATGGCCTGGAGCCCGGCAGGTGAAACAGGCCCTGGGGGGAGCCCTCCACCCCCCCAGCGCCCCTGAGCTAGAGCCTGGTCCTCGCACCACCGCTCAGCTGTCAGGGGCTGGCCTGCCCACATGGAGGACGCATCGGGCCCTGGTGGGAGACCTGCCCCAGGCGATGACCCGAGGCTGGCACGGGGACTCCTCGGCAGGAATGACTGCCCCTTCAGCGGAGGTGGGGTGCCAGGTACGCAGGCCCCGAATGGCCGTGGGGGGAAGAGCTTCTCAGTCTCCACTGTTGTCACACGACTTTATTATGAAGCCTCAGGCACAGCCCGGACACAGAGCGCGAAGGGAACACAGGACGCTGAGGGCATCGCTGGCCAGTCCAGCCCCCTGGCCCCACCCCTTCCTTTAAGAGCTCAGTAACGCAGCTCAGGCAGCAGTGGGCCCGGCCCCCGCCCTCGCCCTCGCCCCCCAGGCTGGAGAACAGGTGTGGCCTGTCCAGGTGCCCCTCCAGGCCAGTCACTGACATCTCCTCGGAGTCCAGAGCCAGCACCGTCGGGGCATCTTCTACTCCAGGACCCTCTGGTGTCTGCCCACTGGCTTTTGTCTTGTCCACATGGCACGGCACCAGGGTCTGGCCCTCTGCTGACCACCCGGGGCTCCACCCACGGCCGTCTCCACCTCGCGCGGGACGGTCAGCACAGCAGGGATGGACGGCGGGGACTGCGGTGGCTGCAGGGCCCGGGCTTGGTGACAGGAAGCAGAGGGCAGGCAGTGAGAAAGGCAGCCGAGCCACAGCCCCGAGGGAGGACAGCACGTGGGCAGCAACGCCCCAGGCGCTGGTGCCGCCTGAGGGCAAGGAAGGCAAAGTGGTGGGAACAGCCACAGGCCGAGCCTGAGGCACAGACCAGCAGAGCGCCCTCAGATGGCGGTGAATTTAATGGCAGAGCAGCTCGCAGCTCACAGCCCTTTCTCCTGGGCCAGCTCCCCTCCAGCGGACCAGGGCCAGCCCAGCAGGGAGACGTTAAACACCCAGACCCCGACAGGAAGCACACACTGGCACGCATACCACACCGACACACATACTCGGACCAGCACGACACACGCAACAAAGACCCTCCCTGCCTCTGGCCAGAGTCCTTTGTCCGAGTCCCTTCCCATCACTGGTCCAGGCTGAGGGTCAAGGAGAGGCCGCCTCGTGTCCAGGTCTAGACCTTGTACAGCGTCTGCAGCAGACTGTGGCGTGCGAAGGAGCAGGCCTCCAGGGCGCCGTTGGGCCTGTGGGGAAAGGCACCTGTGGGCCGGGAGCTCAGGTGGCAGCAGAGCGTGGGGCCACTTTTGCAGCTAGAAATGTGCCTGACTCCACTCTTCTAATTTTCACGACTTTTCTTTTTTAAATTTTCATAATATATTTTATTTAGCCCAATGGATCCAAAATATTATCCTTTCAATATATAGTTACTATGAGATTAATGAAGTACATGAAACTATTGCTGTATTTTGCACTGCCATGTTCTCGCTAAGTCTGTGGAACGCAGTGTTCCTCAGCCCTCAGCGTGCTGACCGTGTGGAGCTCAGGGCCACACGTGGCTGGCGGTAGAACGTCGGCGCACAGCTCTCCGCTGTCCCCTAGCTCCTCAGTCTCTCCCAGTCCCTGTCTCCACTGCAGCCAGTGGGCGTATCTGCTGGTGTCACTGCTTTTTTAAGATCCTTGCTTGATTCCATGCTGCTTCAGACTTCAAGACCCGTGATAATGGTAATAAGCTGTACTTACCTCTCCAGCCCCGTCTCACTCAACTCCACCCGAAACCCTACCCCGGATTCAGTTCATAGTGACTTTTCAAAGGGGATGCACACGCGGTGGGGGTGGCCCCGTCCCACCCCTGCCCACCACTGTCCCCCGAGGCTCTGGATTCACCCGCAGTGTGGCTGGTCAGAGCCCTTGGAGACAACCTTGGTTGGTCATATGGGGAGACTGAGGCTTGAGGCCTCGGTGAGGACAGGGGGCCAGCCCACCCCCCATCCATGCTGGGCCCCAACAGGGCCCAGAGGCTCCTCATGACTTGACTGGTCAGCGCTCACCAGCTCCAGGATCCTCCAGGCCAAGGCCAAGGTTTTCACGGCCGGTGGCTGTGCAGGGCCCCGTGGCCTTGGCTGCTGTGGGAGTGGACACAGAACTGCTTGGAGGGATGTCGCCGAGCGCCGGTGAGGGCAAGCTCCTAACTGAGTGGGCTTCCCCTCTGGAAAGTGGGGCGCTACGTCCTCAGTCTCTCGCAAGGAAAGGCTTTGTCCCCGAGTCCTGTGTCCTCAGCTGGGCCGGGGAGGAGGCCTCAGGAGTGGTGGTCACACAGAAGCGAGACCCAACACGGATGCCAAGAGCCTGGGAGGCACGAGGGCCTCTCACAAGCCAAGTGGAGGCCAGGAAGCCTCGGACCACAGGCGCCGCCGGGGACACACTCACTTGGTCATGAATGCCTGCAGCAGGGGAGCGAGGGCCTTGGGGAAGTAGTCCTGTTGCACCATGTGGTTCAGTGCCATCAGGGGACCGTACAGGTTGGCAATGGCCTTGACCTTGTCTTCACTCTGTGAGGGGCACACACGGGGCTGCAGGTGAGCTTTGAGGTCCCCTGGGGGCCCAGGGCCTCCACCATTCAGTCCCTGCTCAGAAGCCCTACGGCCAAGGTGCTGGAGCAGAGCCAAGCCCAGGACGGGGTGGGTGGCAGGCCCCTACAGGCCTCGTGTGGGACGGGGCGTGGAGCGTGGCCAGAACACCCGCTGGGGCACCCCCTCCACCCCTCCCACCACTCCTTCCAGCCGCACCTTGAGCAGACCCATGTGGATGAGGAGCCTGGTGAGGAAGACATTGGGGTTGAAGGAGGATGAGCTGAAGGCCTTCTTCATCAGGGCGTCTGCAAGGCAGAAGCAGCGTGGGCAGAGCGCTCACTGCAGCAAAGGGCTGGCCTCGGGCCAAAGGGCATCAGCCCTTCCCCAAGCCAGTCCCGCTGAGGGGACAGCTAGCACCGGGGAAGGGCTGGCTCTACCGGCTGTGACATCTTGGCCCTTCCCTGTCCTGGCCTCTCAAGTAAAATGGGCTCGGGGACCTTGCACCGCTGGGGTGGAGATAAAGTGAGGGTTCAGCCACTTTGTGGAGGCGAGGGAGATGGACAGGGAGACGGAGGAGAGTCTGTGCTGGGCTGCTCGGGGAAACAATTGGGTAACTTGTCCTCACAAATGGGGCTGGGCTCTCAGGGAGACCACCTGGAGACCCCTGCCTGGCTCTCACCCACCTGCCCAGCCTCACTGCTCAGTGACCCTCCTGCCTCAATGCTGCCTTTTCCGCGTGCTGTGCCCCTCACAGGCAGGCCCTTCCTCTCATCTGCCGAGCAGGACCTGGACCACCCCAGCACACGCTGACAAGGTGGGAGGTTGATGGAGGTAACAGAGAACCAGGTGGGAAAGGGAACTCATGACAGGGCTTGGGGGAGGGGGACCAGAGATCCCGGAAAGCCTGGAAAGGTATCAGGGAAGCAGGGGAACCTCCAGGTGGAGGGGACACATGTGCAAAGGTTCAGAATTGGGGACAAAGGCTCAGTCTTCACACCCCTCCTCTGAGAGCAGTGCCTCCCCAGGGCCCTGGGCTGTGGCCAGCTGGTCTTCCTGTATGGCTGTCCCGGCCCGAGTTCTAGATGCATAGAGCTGAGCTGACCTGGGAAAGGCCTCTGTCTCCCCATTTACAAAAACCAGAGAGGAGAGCCTCCAGCGAGAACCCAAGAGGAACAGGTGGGAGGGGCCGAGAGCAGTTCATACATCAGCGCTGGAGGGGAACCAATAACTGGAAACGTCCCGCCCTGGAGCAGTGAAGAGGCAGGAGCCCCCCAGGCCCCACCCCCACGTTACCTACTGCGTCCTGTACTGCCGTCCTCACTGTGGCTTCATCCTTGAACACAGAGGACACCTTCAGGAAGGCGGAGACCACCTTCTCCGGGTCAGAGGTGTCGGTCTGAGGACACAGGAGACAGTGGCTGGTCAGCAGGGCCAGAGCCCCAGGTCCTGCCTTGGCCCACACGGTCTCCGCAGAGCTGGCGTGGACCTGGCCCAGGCAGGTGGGCCACACACACTGAGTGAAGCAGCAATCGCACCCGGTGACTCTGACCCCTTCCCATGATCTAACCTGAATAACCCCCAGTGCAGACAACATTCCCAGGCAACCAAGTGACCTCAACTTGACCGCTAACGAGAAAAGGAGGGACAACGCAAACGTCCAGAAACCGGGCCACCTGGATGCTCCGTCTCCTCCCCGGGCAAAGGGCACAGAGTTTTACTGACACAGGAAGACGATGAACCGCAGCCGATGGAAAGGTGGGCCACAAACAGGTTCACATTATACAATCTCACTTATCATGAAAACACACACAAAAAACAGATAAAACAAGGAAATCAGCCAAGCCAACCGAGAGTGAGCCCATTTAAAACACACACATATATTCTTATTGATTTCAGAGAGGAAGGGAGAGAGAGACAGAAACATCAATGAGAGAGAATCACTGAGCGGCTGCCTCCTGCACGCCCCCTCCTGGGGCATGTGCCCTTGACCGGAATGAAACCCGGGACCCTTCAGTCCGCAGGCCGATGCTCTATCGACTGAGCCAAACCAGCTAGAGCGAGTGAGCCCATTTTATTTCTATTTATCACTCACCCTTTTCTAGCCTCAGTGCTTTCATCTGTACAGTAAGAGTAACAGGTCTCCATTCCTAGTTGCCAACAGTGTTAAAAAAAACCACGCCCAGGTCTCAGAACAGTGCCTGGCAGACAGGAGGTGCTTGATGATCACCTCAGAATGAATGAGTGAAAGAATGGATGAATGACCGAACCCACTAACCAACCAGCAAGGGAGGCCCGAGCAAGGGCAGCCTGCCCACAATACACACGAGATGATGGCCACAGGAGTCCTGGGCAGCCGGTTGTTCTAGAAGCAGCTGGTCCTACAGAACATGCAGAGGGAAGCCTAGGGCTGTGTGTGTGTAAGAGAACACACTCCCCAATTCCAGTCCTCTGAAGTGCGGCCGGCCTGCCCGACTGCGTTCTGCCTTATAACGCCACACTCACTCACACGTCTACGTATAAAAGCGTCTGCGTATGAAAGGAACCCTGGCAGCCCACTCCCCTAACAGCCTCCCCTCCCAGTCCTGCCCTCGGCTCGGCTCGGCCCTTTTCTCCGGCAGCTCTGTTGCGGCAGGCCCGGCACTCTCACCTGTTGGGCTATCAGCACGGAGCTCTTGGGCCCCAGGCGCAGCAGCTTCTCAGGGGAGGGGAAGGCCAGGAAGGTGGAGACATCAGCGGGAGGCGGGGAGGACAGCACGGGAGCTGGGTCCTGGATGGGGGGCACAGGCAGCACGGTAAGGTCTGAACCCAGACTCCTCACCCAGAACACGAGCCAATCATGGCTCAGAGTCCGAATTCTTCCTCCCACTCACATGCACTTCCCCAAAGGGCAGAGCCCAGACACTGGCTCCCAGCGCTCAAGCCTCTGAGCTGGGGACAAGCCACCCCCGAGGACTGCAAGAGCCTTTAAGACGAAGTGGGCCCTCACCATGACGTGACATGCCCCAGGAATGACTCAGGAGGCATGGGGGCCCTACCGTGGACCCCGAGACCTGGATGGAGCCTGGCCCGAGGAAGCGCGGCTAGTGAGCACCAGCAGTGCCCAGAGAAAAACTGAAACTGCCGAGTGGGGGCTGAAATGCTTCCCTAAAACTAGGAAAGCCAAACTCAGCAGAGCAGGGATAGTGTCCAACCCAGCTCTCCGGAAGCTTTCCTGGGGACCCCGGAGGGAACAGGATCAGTGAGGCAGGACACGGCAGCCCTGGCTCCACCAGCCTCCTGGCCAAGGAAGGGCACCAGGTGCCAGATGGGTCATGTCCCCGCCAGCCTACGGGATGGGCTGTCCCTACAGGTCACCACGACAACCCACCGATGGGTGGGAAAATTCTCTCTCTATTCTTATTCTTTTACTGTTCTTTTAGAAATATGTATGTATGTCTTATACACAACACAGCAGCATTACATACGCTATAATTTCTAAGTAGACACATCTATACTGGGCTCAATACGAATACAGCAAAAATAGTTGGTGGCCTCTGTGTTCAAGTGGATTCCGAGCCTGCCCTGTGGCCCCGAGAAGCTCTCTCAGGATTTCAGGGTTGGGGGCCTGGACTCTGATCCTGGCAAACGATGAGGAGCTCACCCCACTGTTAGGGTCCAGAATCTTCCTTGAGGGTGTGGATGACTCCTCTCCTTGCCCTCCCTGCTGTGGTTCTTCCTCCTCCTCCTCTTCCTCTTCTTCTTCCTCCTCTTCATCTTCCTCCTCCTCCTCCTCTTCTTCTCCTTCCTCCTCCTCCTCGTCCTCTTCATCCTCATCCTCACCCTCATCATCACTGCAGAGAGGAGTTGGCTAAAGCAGACCCTCCCAGCCCATGGCCCATGTTGGCTCTGAGGCCTGGCTCTGAACCCACAGACCCCAGCTGGGCAGCTGCTCTCAGGGCGGGGGAAGTGGGTCACCAGGGAGCCGGTCACTCATAGCTCAGCGCCCAGGGAAGCCATGCTGAGAATCAGATCGCGTCCCTGTCCGAGCCCCCAGACCCACTGGGGGGACACAGGAAAGGAAGAGAACTGTCTCAGGGGGCCCAGGGTCTGGCAGGAACACTGCCAGGCTGAGATGCCCAGGGCCGTGCCGCCCTTATCTTGCTGACCATAAGCAGCCCCAGCTGGAGGGGCGGGGGGTTCCTGCCCCGAGGACAGCTGTTCTGTTTCCCCTGGACCCTGAGCCTTGAGCCCATTGAGTCCCCACATTCTAGGGGCAGCAGAACTCTAGCAGTGACTGAGGATGACAGGGAATGAAGCCAACTTGGGGGTTACAGGGGCGGAGGGAGAGGGTGCTATCTACTGGAGGAGGCCACCGTCCCCCCATGCCTCCAGTGGGCTCTGCAACCCAGAACCCCCACCCTCCTGCATGGGTCCCTCCCTTTCTAGACAGTCTCTGAGAGCAATGCGGAGCCCAGCCCCAGGCCACCCCGGCCTCATGCTGGCTGCCCTGCCTTATCTGTCAGCATCAGACCAGCCATCATCCCTTCAGAGCTCTCCCCAGCTCCCTGCGCTAAAGGGGACATTGCCCTCTGCCCTCCTTTGTCCCTCTGCTGAACATGTAATAAAAATGTGGCTATTCTGGACCCCCTGCCCCACTAGAATGAAGTGGCGCCTTCATTGTTGTATTCTCACATCCCTAATGCCTAGCACAGCACCTGGTACATAACAGCCTCAATCAATGTTTATGAAATGAATAAAATGAATGAGTCCCCAACCGCCCAGAGCCCTACCTGAGGGATGCCAGCACCTGGGCCATGTGGAAGCTGTCCAGAACCTCCTGGAGCTGCTCACAGCCTTCTTCTCCCAGGGCGTTGCCTGCTCGGGGCAGGGGAAGGGGGAGAAGAGGAAACAGGGTCAGGGTCAGACCCACCGGCAGGCCTGTGCTGAGGCCATCACCACTACTTACCATTGAGGTCCAGTTTCTCCAGCTCGGCCTTGTCTGCCACAGCCTCAGCCACGGACAGAGCAGCATCTCTCTTGATTTCACAGAACGACAAGTTCAGCTCCTAAAAATAAGAGGAAGGGGTAGTGGCAGGCAGCAATGTGGGCCAGGAGAACCAGGTCCTACTCGGAAGCCTCCATTTCCCCAGGACCGGAAGGTAGGCTCCGTCCTCCAGATGGCCAGAATGACACCAACAGAAATGCCATGTACCCAGTGATGTGCCAGGTACCCAGAATGTTTATATACAGTCAACTATGATGACCTCATTTTAAAAATTAAGAAACTGCCCAGCCGGCATGGCTCAATGGTTGAGAGTTACCGATGGACCAGGAGGTCATGGTTCGATTCCTGGTCAGGGCACATGCCAGGGTTATAGGCATGATTCCCAGTGGGGGGCATACAGGAGGCAACTGATCAATGATTCTCTCTCATCATTGATGTTTCTGTCTCTCTCTCCCTCTCCCTTCCTCTCTGTTTGCTGGAAGCTTTTTGATGACTGCTTCAATTTCTTCCATAGTTATTGGCCTATTGAGATTTTTAGAATCTTCCTGATTAAGTTTTGGAATGTTGTATTTTTCTAGGAATATGTCCATTTCCTCCAGGGTGTCTAGTTTGTTGGAGTAGAGTTGTCCATAGTATTTTTTAACAATCATTTGTATTTCTGTGGGATCTGTTGTTATTTCGCCTCTGTCATTTCTGATTTTGTTTATTTGGGTCCTTTCTCTTTGCTTCTTGGTGAGCCTGGCTAGAGGTTTGTCAATCTTGTTTATCCTTTCAAAGAACCAGCTCTTTGTTTCATTGATTTTCTGTATTGTTTTTTTGGCCTCTCTGAACTTAATAAAAATATGTTGTTTTTTAAAGAAGAAACTGTGCCCAAAGGGGAGAAGGCACTGGCACAACGGCACGAGGGAGGATGCAGAAGAACCCAGGCCCAGTGCCTCTGCCATGGGACCCTCTGCCACCCGCTGACCAAGTGGGGGAACCCTGACCCCGGAGGCACCTTCAGCTTGGGCAGGCCCCCGCGGACGGCATCTGCAATGGCAACAGCGCCCTTGGAGCGCACCAGGCAGTCCCCGAAGTTGATCACCTCCACCTGCCGCAAGGTCTTCAGGGTCTGCAGGAGGAAGTGAGGGCCAGGGTGAGGCTGCAGGCCTCACCCAGGCCCCCTGAGCCAACGTCACACCCGGATCACCCGCCTCACCTTGGCCATGGCCACAGCGCCCTTCTCAGTGAAGGTGTTATCGTTCAGGTTGATGACCCGCAGCAGGGGGTTGATGGCGAAAGCCTGGGCCAGGGCAGTGATGCCAGGGTGATTGATCCCATTCTGGGGCATGTGGACCTCCTTCAGAGTCCCTATGACCTGATGGGTAAGAAACATGAAGATTTCTATATATTTGTAACAACTATAATTTGACATGAAACATCTGCGATTGCTATTGTTAACAAAGTCACAGACATTTCTAAAGCTTACATTCCCGACTGAAGTGAGGTCATACGTTAGCCATGTTAATGATGAAAATCATGTGATTCCCCCCATCCATGTGCAAAGGCTCCCTGTTGTATCCAGGCTAGTGGGGTCCCATTGGCCCGGGTTAAGAACCCCGTCCCAAGGGCCCCAGAGGACACCCGAGGACAGCCCAGCACACCCACCACGCGCCTGTTCCCAGCACTGAGGACAGCGGCTGAGGGAGAGGGTGCAGAGAGGGCACCATCGTTTGCGAGGATGGTAACCTGTCCCTCCAGCTCCAGAGGGGAAGGCTCCCCTGCAGCCAGGGGTCCAGTCAGCTACAGACCCTTCTCCCCTGCCATGTCACTCTGACTTGAGGCAGCGAGCTTTGGCAGGGAGACCCCTCAGGGCAGGACTGTGGGGGACACTATTCTGGCCTGAGTACCGTTAACACTGATAGAATATTATTGGCCAAAGAAAACGTTTAAGTTAAGAGGAGGGGCACAGACCCTGTGGAGGCAGGTCTGGTCCTCTCATGGAGCTCACCACCAGGGACTCAGCAGTGTCCTGGGGGAGAAGGAGGGGCACCTGGGCCTCCGCTCCTTCCCACCTGTCTCAAGGGCCGGTCTGCCCTGCCCATTAGAGGCCAGAGACGCTGACCCCACCGCTCCAGCATCACCACGCCTGGCAGATGCCCCTGACTCTCAGAGCAGCCTCATAACCTTCTCAGGCAGCACTCCAGGGGGCCACTGCCAGTTCACCTGGGTGAAGGGTTGTGCAACTTTCAGGCATACACAGAGCAACCAGCCCCCTGTAGGATGACCAGCAGGCTCGGGGCAGGGAAGTAACTTGCTTAGGTCTCAGCTGTCCCAGAGCTGGAGGCACTCCCAGGACATGCAGAACCACTCACCCCAAAGGCTTCTGCCAAGGCGGTGGCTCCGTCGTTCTCCAGACGGTTTCTGCCAGCCACAAAGACCTGCAGGGCCAGCGGCTTGCCTTGGGCACTGGACTTCCGGTAACACTCAGTCAGAGCTGCCGCCAGGATCTGTGGGGGAAAAGGTAAGAGGCCCAGGCCTATGCAGGAGGCCCTTCTCCCAGTAGGGCAGCAATGCCACTGAATGAGTCTTCAATGTCCATGCCACCACTGGTGGTGGATACGGGGACAAAGAACTGCTCAAGCCCTAGCCGGGTATCTCAGTTGGTTGGAGCATCGTCTCAAAACGCCAAGGTTGCAAGTTCAATCTCGGGTTGGGGCACATTAAAGAGACAACCAACAAATTCATAAATAAGTGGAACAACAAATCAATTCTCTCATTCAAAATTTTTTTAAAAGAACTGCTCGAAAGCTGAATGGTCACCTCTCACATGTGCCCAGCACCCTATAATTTACAAAGAGCTGTTACATCTATTGCTTCATGTGCGGGTCCCGCCACCCTGGGGGTGTAGCCTCATGGTAAAGATGGGTGACCAAGGCCCAGGGGGAAGGGAGAGACCAACACCAAGGGGCCAACTTGAAGCCAGGTCCCGGGAAGGGCTTTCACAATTAGCCCACTGGACTGTCACAAGCCCTCTCGCAGGCGGGACCATCAAGAGTCCCTTTCCAGCTGAAGCTACGCAGGCTCAGGGAGGGACAGAATCGGTCCTACGGTTGCTAAGCAAGTGGCAGACTCTGAACAGGACCCAAGTCTTCCAGTGTCTCTCCCACGCTCCCCAAGATCTAAGGGGAGCCGGCCACGGAGACCACGGCCCCCCTGAGCCCATCTGAGACACGCCAGTGTGCAGGCAGCCACACAAAGCAGGGTCTCAGCTGCTGGGAGCAAAACCTAAACCCAGTCTCTCCTGTCCTTGGGGTGGTGCCTAGAGCAGCTTCTAAGCCTCAGTTCCCTGGGCAGAGGTGAGGTGAGGGGTGGAAAATGGAAGCATTTTACAAGGATGAGTCTGGCTCCCCCAACACATCACACTCTAGGCAGGGTTGGGCCCGATTTCTGTGCTGACTCAAATCTTTTAGGTTGTAACGCACACCAAGCTTATTTCCCGATCAGCTGGGGGGAGGGCCGGCCGGGACAGCAGGGGAGCGTGGCCCTTGCTCCCCTCCCAGGGGGCAGGGCAACAGGCACCCTCTGCAGGGGAGGCCGATCTGGCTCCTCAGCCTGGAGCACTGCAAGCATCACACAGGTTCTTCCCGCTGCCCTGACAGGGCCACGTGGATGAACATTCAAGTCTCACATTATCTGGGGCACTCGACCCCAGATCTCTAAGCCCAGGTCTACTCATCTGAAAAGAGGGGGACAGCATCACCCACCTGTCACCGTGGGTAGGAGAGTTAAGGTTATGCACATAACACAGCCTCAAAGGGAAGGTGTCCCGACCGCTGTCAATTCCTGCATCCCAGCCCTTTTCTACTTTAGGTCAGAGCATGAAGGGGAGGCACTTAGTCTTCCTAGAATCTGGGCCTAACGGAGCCAGAAAGGAGCAAGAAGAGGCTAAAGAGCCTCCTCCCTCTGTGCAGGTTCTAGGAAGAAAAGAGGAGCCTTTCGACACTGACCAGCGGGCTGACCAGCAGGATGGGGGAGCACCGGGTCCCCCAGGAACAAAGGCGAGTTGCGCCATCTCTCTCTGGGCTCCTTCCCCGCATGCACAGCCAGGCCTCACAAGGCTGCCACCTGCTCTGAGGGCACAGCAGGCCTAGGGACACCCAAAGCCCTGCATTTTGCAGAGCCAGCTAGTCGGAGCACATATGCAATACTGCCTGTGTTGCCAAGCAACACAAGAACTGGGGTGGTTGCTTGGCAACCCCACCCTCACGAACTCCATCTCCTCTCCCCACTGGCCACAGGCTGCCACCTTTGAGGCCTTTCTCCTTTGAAGAGAAAAGCAGGCCAGCCAACCCAGATGGTGGGTGGCCAGGGCACACACTGCCGATGGAGGCAAGTGTAGTGGGGACTGGGCAGGGAGGGAGAGTGAAGGACAGCGGGGACGTGAAGGAGGGGCCCCTGCACCCACCTTGCCACCACCGATGCCCATGCCACAGTTGTTGAGCTTGAGCTCGTGCAGGGTGAAGCAGGCGGAACTCTTCAGCAGAGCCTCGAAGCCTCGAACTCCATCGGGCCCGAATGCATTGTCACTCAGGTCCAACTCCACCAGCTGGGCCCCGGCGGTGATGAGTCCCTCCCCTAGTGAGATCTGGGCACAGAGGGAGCTCATGTCAGTGTCCTACCAGGTGCTGCTTCTGTGCCGGGGGGCACTCAGGCTGGTGGGAACTGGCAGAGGGCTCCCAATTCTGCTGGGGAGTGGGGCTTGGTGCATGCCATGTGGTCAGGGAAGGCTCCCTGTAGGAGGTAACATCTGAACTCAGTCTGGATGAGAATCAGCCAATCAAACATGAGATTCCAGGCAGCAGTAAAAACATGAGCAGAGACATAAGCACAAAGCAGCACGTGTGTGCCTGGGGCGACAGCTGGTAGATTCCAGAGAGGCTGAGGCTAGAAGGGAATCAGGTTTTGCTACAAAGCAAGTGAGGTGTCAGATCAGGCAAGAGCCTTGAAGGCCAGGCCAAGAACTGTGAACTGAGACAGAGCAATGGGCTTTGAGGTGGGTGAGGCGTGTGGAAGCAACAGCCCCCCAACCTGAGGAGGGCAGAGCGAGGGGCCGATGGAGGCTGGAGGCAAGTGCCCACCCAGGAGTGTGAGCAGCAATCTCGGGCCCCAGGGCGGATGCTGCTGTCCGATGTGCTGGGAGACAGAGGAGAGGAAACCGAAGCCTCTGCCCAGGACCAGCTGTGGCAAAAAGATGCTGAGCAATCCCGGGACCTCCAGCCATGGGACCTGCAGTGCCCCAGGAGAAAGGGGGCGGAGAGGAGGCTGGGCAAAGGTCAGGGGATGGGGGAGGGGAGGCAATGCCTAAGCTGGTCTCTGGCTGCCCCACCCACAGGAGCAGGCCCAGCCCTAAGATCTGCCTCAACTGACCTCTCGCCCTCAAGCAGGCAGAGCTGCTCAGACCCTCTGAGCCTGCTCCACCTTCCCTTACTTCACGCAGGGCAGATGCTGTGCTTGCCAGCCTTCCGTGTCAGCATCTCAGTCACCCACAGGACATATCCTAGCCTCCAGAAGGTGTCAGAAAAAGGCCTGGAATGGCCAGAGGGGTCCTGTGCCAGAGGGGACGCACGCCACGGCCCGTTCACTTACCAGGGCTGGTGGGATCTCCGACCGCAGCCGCCCTGTGAACATGTCGCTCCAGTGGCATCGCTTTGAAAGGAGGAAGAAGAGTTAGCTGAGACCTCGCCTCATGGACTTACACTACCAAGCACTACAAGACTTCTTCATCTGGGCTTTGTCAGTGAAAAGTTGGACCAGCTCTGGCCAAAGCTGGTGGGACCTGGAGACCCGCAAGGGCCGTGGAGGCTCAGCAGGAGGTTAGGAAAACCCCGATCTGCCCGAGCCTCTGGCTTCTGGGAGGGGGAGGGACACGCGGGTGAGAGAAAGGAGATGCTCCGGGAACAAATGGCAGTGGCAGGACCAGGACCAAGACGGCCAAGTGCTCCTTTCCAATCCAGTTTCCCACACGGGCTGGGGGGCAGCGACGTGAGCATGACTGGGTGGTGGAGGAACAGCAAAGTTAACAGTGGGGGATCCAGCAGCAAGGAAATTACTCTTTCTGAGCCTCTTTTCAGCCTTCCTGCTGCCTCAGGGGGCGAGCTCGCCTTGAGGCTGGCGGGTCTTGCCCACCTCCCCACTTCTTATTCGTCTGCCTTTCGAGCCAAGGAGCAGACCTCGGGCTCAGGGCCTTGTGGGTTGGGACACCTGTGGATTGTGTGTGTGAAGTGCCCCAGGACAGGATAACATGTCCCCATTTATAGAAGGGATTGGGTTTGCTTTTCAATTACTTCAAAGTGAGCTGATTTCGAGGAAATACTAGGTAAATGGCACAGAAGTGGTGGCCACAGCACCCGTCTTATGCTGCCCAGCAGTTTAGTCTCAATGCATGGGCACAACCCTTCCCTCCCACTTTGGCCGCTGTGTCCATCTAAAACAGTGGTTCTCAACATTCTGGCCCTTTAAATACAGTTCCTCATGTTGTGACCCAACCATAAAATTATTTTCGTTGCTACTTCATAACTGTAATGTTGCTACTGTTATGAATCGTAATGGAAATATCTGATATGCAGGATGGTCTTAGGCGACCCCTGTGAAAGGGTCATTCGAACCCCAAAGGGGTCACAACCCACAGGTTGAAAACTGCTGATCTAAAATATCACTCTGGCATCTCCGGCCTTTCCTGACCAAACCTGGGACTGATGAGACATGGCCTGGGTTCTGATTCTGACTTAACAGACCCCAGGATCAGAACCCTGGCCCGACAATCCCATCTCTGACTCTGAAAGAGGCTTCAGGCCTCACAATCTCAAGTGGCAGCAGAGCAGTTAGGAGGCTGGGCTAGTATCGGCTCCAATCCCGGCCCATTCCTGAGATGTGTAACTGTGGGCCACACTTTTCTCCTCTGTCACAACAGGGGAGATAACATCTCCCATCAGCATGTGCCAGAGCACAATGGGCATCAAGGGCAGATCCCCCCGCCCCTGCCCCTGCACAGAAGCAGGCCTGCGATGCTGGGCGGGTGACTCGAGGCACTGGGTCTGCACAGGGGACAGGACGCAGGCAACGCTGCCCCTGGTGGCGCTCTCATGACATAAGCCTGCATCTGGCCATCACAACCACCTCTCAGGGAGGAAAAACTTTTCACGAAGGAGCCCAGGCTCAGAGTTTAGTGCCAGGCCACGTAGCACAAGCAGGTGGTGGTGCTGGGGCTTGAAGCCAGGCCCTTGGGTGCCGAAGCTCAGCTCCTGCAGCCTCCAGGCCCAGGCCCAGGCCGCATCTGCTCCGTTCCCTTCCTGCACAGGCCACCAGCCACCGGGAAGGGCTAAACTCTTCTGAAGGAAAATGTCCAGCTTCTGCTCAAGGAAGGGCCTCCCGGGCAGGAGAACAGACACAAGCACTGCCCGGCTGCTCACCCGACCATGACCTTCCTGAGCAAACAAGCACCAGGGGCCACTTCATAAACCAGCCGGCCCTCACTAGGCAAGTCCACTCCACTTTTCTCGTGGCCCAGCCCTGCACGCCCTCCCTTTCCCAAAGCCCAGGGGAGGAGCACTGGACGCAGGAGTACCAAATGCGTTCGGCCACTCAGCAACAGGAGGATCCCAGGCCATTACTCAGCCCCCTGAGCCTCGGTCCCGTGACTTACAGAATAGACACTCTTTATTGCCTGGGCGGCTGAGAGGACTAAGGGACCCGTGCAGAGGCCAGCACGAGCCCAGCCTTTTATGAACTAAGCCATTCTCACCTACAAAGCAGGGCCCTTTCCCTCCGGACTCTTTGGGGCTTTGCTACACTCACACATGCCGACCCTGGCAAACAAGAGCAGGAGACAACATCTTCCCAATGATTTGAATGTGGTAACCCACTTTTCCCAAAGAGCATCTTGACGTACTGGCATTCAGTGGCACCCACATTGGGACGCACGAGGAGGGTCACCCCTTGGATCTAGCCCATGAAAGGCCGTCAATCAGCCGTGAGGAGGGCAGTCAGCTGGCCGCCGAGGCATCCATGCTAAGGCCGGGCCATTTCTGCCTAACACCAGACTCCCCTATAGGGCAGGGCAGCCTTTGCTTGGAGCAGGCTGAGCGTTTGCGAGAACAGGGAGGTTCTCATGACGGTTCTGTGCCCTTCCCTCCTAACAGGCGCCAGAGCTGCTGTGCAGGTGAAGGCTCTCTCTGTCCCGTTCTGCTCCACCCCCTTTATCTTCACACGTGTAGCCCAATAAACCCGCTACACTCCCAATACCATCTCCCTGTTGCCATTCGAGGACCCGAATGGACACATCATGCAAGGGCAGGACCCTGGCCAGTGCCGAGTGCTCTGGGGAAGCCAGAGGCAGGAGCTGGCCGTGGGCCTGGGAAGGTCTGTGGCCGTGAGTGGAAGCTCATCCCCAGCCAGTCCCCTTGGGGCAGCTCGTCCCCTTGCAGGTCTCACCTTCAACTCCGACTTCTTCTCCAAGGCCTTGGCGATCACCCTGGCTGCTTCCACGCCCACCGTGTTGCCTTCCAGGCGCAGAGCCTCTAAGCCATCAAAGTCTTCAATCTCTTTAATCACATCCTTGGCTGCCCAAGACCAAAGGAGAGAATCTTAGACTTGGAATCATGAACAGCCGAGGCAGGAGAGAGCCCAGACACTACCTTGTCACTCAAGCGCCTACAGCGATGATGTACCTACCATGTGCCAGGCCCTGACTCACAAAGAACAATCACACAGGCTCACAGTTCAGCAGGGGACACAGCTACACAGACCATTTTTCTGTAACAAGTGTTAAAACAAGGCATGTGTAAGGGTCTGGGAGCCAAGGGAAAGACCAACTGGCTGCTTAAGGCAAAGAAAGAGCTTGGACACCTAGTGGGTGGTGTGCATGGAGCCTCCCAGGACAGGCAGGGCAGCAGGCCCAGTGGGAAAACGGCACCCAAGTTAGGGGGCCAGCAGCTACAATGGCACACGGCTTTCGAGCGTTCCATTACTCATGTTTGGGGTGTTCATTACTGTGCTGTTTTTTTGTTTTTGTGGTTTTTTTAATATATTTTATTGATTTTTTACAGAGAGGAAGGGAGAGAGATAGAGAGTTAGAAACATCGATGAGAGAGAAACATCGATCAGCTGCCTCCTGCACATCTCCTACTGGGGATGTGCCCGCAACCCAGGTACATGCCCTTGACCGGAATCGAACCCGGGACCCTTCAGTCTGCAGGCCGATGCTCTACCCACCGAGCCAAACCGGTTTCAGCTGTGCTGTTTTATTATGATGAAAAATTCCAAACAACCGAAATGTCCATCAACAGCAGATAGGTTGATATGTTATTTGTATTCTCTCTAGTATGTGCATATGAGCATATAAACATACACATTCACACAATAAGGTCCAGAAAGATAGAAACCAAATGTTAAAGCAGTTATGTCTAGGTGGTAGGATTATAAGTGATTCAGGTTAATAAAGTAGCTTTTAAACTATCTGTAATATGATCCTAATTATTAAAAAAAAAAAAAAGAAAAAAAGGAACTCAGCTATGTTTAGGAAAAACACACACACAGCAAATGACTAAAAAAATGTACAAAAATTAACAGTAGTTATATCCCTGGGCTGTGTGATAACAAAGTTATAGAGTTTTTTTTCCTTCTTCCAATGTTTCTGTATTCTATAATGTGCATGTATTAACTTTACAATCTGAACAAAACACACTAGTTACATGAAACAAATAGTGGAGAAGAGATGGAGATATATATGGGAGATAAAGGTTTGAACTTGACCTTCCAGGTTACAAAGCCCTCAGAGGGTCTTGAGAAAGGTTTTAACTTGCGATCTCTAAGGGGGTCCCTACAAAGCTTTCCAAGCTGGGGACCTCTGTACACCCCTGCCTCCCTCCGTCTCCCCTCCGCTGCACGTCCTCAGAAGCCCTTGCTAAGCTCCCAACAGGGTCAAATCTTCACAGGCAGCACAGCCCCGATCTCCTATGGAGCCTGCCACAATGTTACACCGTCTAAATGAACTTGCTCATTATGGTGACTTTGTTAATACTGTCTTCCCACTGGGTCATGAGGAAAGGGGCTCGCTCTGCCTCTGCTCACTACCTCATACAGAGAAGCACTTAACACACTAACGTGTGAGTTTTACACACATTGACTCCTACATTCCCCACATCATCTAATGAGGTGGTTACTGTTACATCTATTTTATGTGACTATATTAAGACACAGAGAGGGGAAGTAAATGCCTACCAAGGTCCCCCAGGTAGAAAACGAATGACCCAGCATCCATTTTCCATTTCTCAACAGGGAGGCTGGAAGGTATGGGCCTCCATTCATAAAAGAGGAAGCTGAGGTTTCAAGGAAGCAGCATTGCTCAGGAGCTCAGGGAAACCAGCAGGGCTGCTTTTCCAAAACTGAACTACATGCTCCCCCCTCTACCCTTGCCTCTGTGTACAACCATGGACTTCAAGCAGCCCCCCAGCAGAGAAGCTCCTTAATCCCTCCTCTCCCCTCCCTGCCCCCCTCTCCTGGGTGACTGCACCCTGTGCAAGGGCTGAATGACTTGTTCCAAAGAGGAGCGCCCCTTAACACCCAGGGACTGGCCAAGTCAACAAGGGGCGAGGAGGGCTGCTCAAGGCATGTTTACAGAGTCCTTGAAAGCAGGGCCCCAAGGGAAGACAACCTATGCTGCCTCAGTGACCTAAGGACAGAAATAGGTGCTGTACTTTCCACAGACCAACCTGGGAAGGAAATGCACCAAAACTGGAAGAGCAGGGACAGGAGGAGGTGGGGGCCACACGTGAGCTGCCTCTCTCACTTGGTTTCCAATCCAAATGGAGTTACACTAACTTAAAAACAGATCAGAAATGGGCCCCAACCACCGCTAAATAACCAGCTGTCACGTGGCTGCATGGCAGGGATTTCTCTCCTCAGCCTCTGCCGCCTCACAAAGTAACAAGCTTCAGGTTTCATTACTCTGCCACACAAAGCAGAAAGGCCTTTCTTTGGTCCTTAAATGACTTCCTGGGGAGAAAAGGGCCTGACCTAATCATCAGACACATGGCCTCCTCGCACAGGCCCTTGCCCACCCCTGTCTGCGCTGGCTCACTCCCAGCCAAGACAGAGCCCTTTGTGGGTCCACGATGAGGCCGCCAGGCTCCTCGGCACAGCATTCAAGGGCCTCGGCCCTGGGTCCCTGTGGGACTCTGACTTTTCTTCCAAGCCCACCCTGTGGGTCTCAGCGTCGGTGTCTGGCTCACGTGTTTCTCCCAGCCTGCAGTGCGCGCTCTCCTTAAATCTTCCTTCCACGACAGTTCAAATACACCTCATCCACAGAGACGTCCTGGACCTCCTACACTCAAAGTGGTCCCTTTCCCAAACGACACGCTTCCCTGAGCCTTCCACTCAGGTCTCAGAGTGTATTTCACCTCCCGCCTCCTGTTCGTTACCGAGTACCTCACTCCCAGTCCACAGGAGCTCCTCCGAGGCTGGGGCTGGAAGGGGGCATCCTTAGTGACCTAATCGGGAGGCAGCATGTCCAGCCTGTGCTGGTGAAGTGCTTGGCTATCTGCACGGATTTTAGGGCCACAGAAACCTGAGTTCTAATCCAGCTGCACTACTTACAGCTGTGCCCTCGGGCAAATCATACCACCTCCCTGAGCCTTAATGGAGATGAAACCTACTTCAAGGGCTTTTGAGAGGATAAACTGAGATGCTATTTGTAAGGCACTTAAGACTCTGCCTGACACAGTTCAACGAATAGCGTTTAACAGCAAATCCACGCTGACGGCACGGAGCTGAATGTCCACGGAGAAGCAGAGGAACAGGATGCAGCCGGACCTCTCTTAACATCCTGGCCCTGTTTACCAGCTGTATGACCTTGGGCAAGTTATTTAAGTTTCCAAAGTCCTTTTTCCCTATTTCTAAAATAGCAACATTTGTATCTCAGGGATGACGCAAGAATCAAAAGTAACAAAAACACAGGGAGGAGCTGGGTAAATTTTAAGAGCCTATAGCATGTTAGGAGTGTGCAGCAGCAAAAACTGAAGCAGACTCTGACATGGCGGAGGGGCAAGCCTGCCACGCACACTCCGGACCAATTTCCTGGTTGGGCCAAAAGGACCAACATAGGTGCCTTCACTTCCAGACACCAGGGGATTCAGGGATGGTCAGTGCCAGGCTTGCCTTGGCCAGGGATGGAAAGACAGGGTCTGCATTCTGATTCCTAGTTCTCTCCCATCCTGGTGCCTACACACAGACAGGGGCGGCCATCCTCCCTCGGGGAGATGCAGATGCATGGACCAGACCTCCCAAGAGGGACCAGACTGTTGTTTTAATGCAGCGCAGTGGGGAGGGTCTCAGCGCTGGGGAAGGTGACAGGTATTCCCAGACCATCTTGGGGTCATGGGGGTGAAGGTGGGAGTGGATCTGAAGTAAGAAGTTAGCAACTAGACCCTGGGGCTGCCACTAACTGTGGTCGCTCACTGCCTCCGTCCCCCCAAGAGATAAAGGGGCCCTCCCCACCTGCCAGCCTGAGCCATCCTGGCAGGAATGCCCACCGCAAACATGGAGACCGGCAGGGAAGCCTGCGCATGCTCAAGGGCAAGTCATCTTTGAGCCTCACTGTTAGATGGGCCCAGTGATACCTCTCAGAGCTGCAGGGACAAAATGTGACAATGTAGCTAAATGAGCCTGACAACCAGTAAGAGTGAGCACTCGTTCCCACACTCCCTTTCCTCCCCTGGGCCAACCCACCCCGGAACTCACCATCTTCTGCAGTGTTGAGTTTGAGGCTCTTGCCCTTGAAACTCAGCTGTCCCCCAGCCACCTGGGTTTTGGCTAGCGTCTCTGCCAACTTGGCAATGTCTTCAGAGGCCATGCTGGACACACTGGTGGGCTCCCCCAGAAACCTGCAAACTGAGGTGACCAAAGTTTCATTAAGAGAGAGGAGGCTCACTTCCAGAGAACATCGCAGAGCTGCTTGTGCACATGAAATGCACTCACGAATCGTTTATAAGCAAGCTATGTTAGCAAATCAGTTCAAGTCATAAGTATACATAAGTGCTGTAGGATGTCACTGATGTGATTAGTTTTGTGTTTTATTTTATTTTATTTTATTTTTTTAAAATATATTTTATTGATTTTTTACAGAGAGGAAGGGGGAGAGATAGAAGTTAGAAACATCGATCAGCTGCCTCCTGCACATCTCCCACTGGGGATGTGCCCGCAACCCAGGTACATGCCCTTGACCGGAATCGAACCTGGGACCCTTGAGTCCACAGGCCGACGCTCTATCCACTGAGCCAAACCGGTTTCGGCAGTTTTGTGTTTTAAATAAAATCTTTAAATGGTAGAAAACAATCCAATTTGGGGGAACGGTACTTTGTGATAAGATGGAGAATGGCTATGAGTACTGTGTGCACCACATCAGGTTCACTGGTTAGCTGGTGGCAGACCGCTCAGAAGCAACATCAAATTTATGGCAGCCTGCATTTTTCTTTCACACGATGACAAAGAATGCTATTTTACTGCCCTCTTCAGTGACGACAGGTGGATGACATTACTATGCCCTATAAACATTTACGTACTTTGTGTGTGGGAAAAACCCAAACAAATATACTTTATCTCTATTTTTAAAGTAATGATAGCTACAACGAATGAGAAGGTAACTGAGACCCATGTTATGGAGAGAATGTTTTCATATTTAATGTTTGTAATTATTTTATTTTTTATGTTATTCTTTACTTTTTATTTAATGTATTGTGGTGACACTGGTTAACAAAATGATACAGGTTTCAAAAAAGTGATACAGGTTTCAGGTGCACAATTCTACAACACATCACTTGTACACTGTATTGTGTTCATCACCCCAAGTCAAGTTTCCTTCCATCACTTCTTCTTTTTTTTTTTTTTTAATATATTTTATTGATTTTTTACAGAGAGGAAGGGAGAGAGATAGAGAGTTAGAAACATCGATGAGAGAGAAACATCGATCAGCTGCCTCCTGCACACTCCCCTACTGGAGATGTACCCGAAACCAACGTACATGCCCTTGACCGGAATCGAACCCGGGATCTTTCAGTCCGCAGGCCGACGTTCTATCCACTGAGCCAAACCGGTTACGGCTCCATCACTTCTTTTTTTTTTTTTTTTTTTTAATATATTTTATTGATTTTTTACAGAGAGGAAGGGAGAGAGATAGAGAGTTAGAAACATCGATCAGCTGCCTCCAGCACATCTCCCACTGGGGATGTGCCCGCAACCCAGGTACATGCCCTTGACCGGAATCGAACCTGGGACCTTTCAGTCCGCAGGCCAACGCTCTATCCACTGAGCCAAACCGGTTTCGGCGGCTCCATCACTTCTTATAAAGAGTCTGCTCCCCACCCCTCCTTGTAATTATTTTCATTATAATGTAATTTGTTGCTAAAGCTAATGTTATTGTAAAACTCGAGTTTCTGTATAATTTTAAAACTGCACAAAACTGTACCTGAATACTTGGAACAGAATTTTATAACTTGTTTTAAAATCTTTCAAATGAAATCTTTAAATCAGTTCAATAAAAATTTTTTTGTTAAAAAATTTAAATGTGCCCTGGCTGGTATTCCCAATGGTTAGTGTCGTTGGCCCTCATACCGAAGGTTTGCAGGTTCAATTCCCGGTCAAGGCCATGTACCTGGGGTGCAGGTTTGATTACTGGCCTCAGGCTCCCGTCTGGGCGACTTCTTGGGGGCAACCAATCTATGTCTCTCACGTTGATGTCTCTCTCTCTCCCCTACCCCCACCCCTTCCTCACTAAAAAAAAAAAAAATCAATGGAAAAATACATTCTAATGTGGATTAACCAAAATAATAATAATAAACAAATAAAAATGCTACATATAAAAGAGAGACAGAGTGGGGGAAGAAGGGAGAGACTCCGGGGTCCCTGGTTGGGGAGAACCCAACTGCCCCAGCTGGGACACCTAGCAAAGCCCTGTGAGTTGCCCAGTTCCTGGGCCCCCAGTGAGAGGCAGTTAACTCCCAGACCCATGGCTGTAAGGAGTCTGCCACAGGCACACACCTGCCTGATCATCTTGGCTACTTTCTGTTGGAGGGTCCCATTCCTCAAACAGGACGTAGAAGGCTACGGGATCCAGGTCATCCATCCCAGAGAATGCCCCACCACCCACGCTGGCATGACTCTGGGGGTGGGGCACAGGGGTCAGCCCACTGCACATCTGGTTTCTGCCTTGGCCAGGGGACTAGGCAGCCCACGGTGGTCAAGCCTCAGGGGTTCCTAGGACACCAGAGGTCTCTACATCACAACAGCCACCATCACAATAGACCAGGGCAGAGCTGCTGGAAAAAGGAGCTACCGGCCGGGAGCCCAGCAGACTCAGAAAGGACCCCATTTCTCCAGAGGAAACGGCAGCTAACGGGAGACCAAGGCAGACAGAACGAAGGGACTCCACAGATACTGCTTCCATCCAGACGGCTTTCTCCCCAATCTACTCACCCTCAACGTACAGTTGTGATAGCTCCCCATCTTCTCACTCCCCCAGGCTTCCTCTGGGCCTACGCAGCCAGCTTCCCACCCCCTTCTCCTGATCTTAACCCTTATCACCCTAGTCCAGTGGTGGGCAAACTGCGGCTTGCCAGCCACACGCGGCTCTTTGGCCCCTTGAGTGTGGCTCTTCCACAAAATACCGACTTCTGTGCATGGGCCACAAAGTTTCAATCGCACTGTACGTGCGCGCCCGCTAGTGGTGTTTTGTGGAAGAGCCACACTGAAGGGGCCAAAGAGCCGCATGGGGCTCTCGAGCCGCATTTTGCGGACTACTGCCCTAGTCTGTCCTTTTTTTTTTCTCCCCTTTTTTAAGAGAGAGGAAAGGAAAGAGAAACATCAATTTATTCTTTCACTTATTTATGCCTTCATTGGCTGGTTGTTGTTATGTGTCCTGACCGGAGATCGAACACACAACCTTCGAGTATTGGGACGATGCTCTAACCAACTGAGCTACCCAGCCAGGGCCTGTCTGTTTTTATCAATAAGCATGAATTATTCTTCTGGGGTAAGGAGGCATTCTTCCACTCATTCATTCAGCATTTATGAGTACTGCTGTGTGCTGGACATCGCTCCAGGTACCAGCAGTGCCTGATGAAACAAAGCCCTGCACCGTGGAAACACGTTCTAAACAAGATATTTAGTATCTTAAACAAGATACTCAGTATCTGAAGAAAAATAAACAGAAAAAGGGGTGGGTAAAGAATTTTCTTGGTGTGTGTGTGTGCAATTTCAAGTGGTGTGGTTAGAGAACTTATTAGGAAAGAAAGGCTGGGAGGAAGCGCATTCTTGCAAATGCAACTGCTCTTGTGGGGGAAGGAGTGGGGGGCAGACTTCAAGGAGGCCAGCGGGGCTGGAGCACCGAGAGCTGGGAGGAAGGAGGGAAGAAATGAGGAAAGAAAACGAACAAAGGCCCAAGTCACAAAGGTCATGGGAAGAACGGTGGCTTCTATTCTGAGTGGCGAGGAGAGCCACCGACGGTTCCTAGCAGAGGAGAGGGGTGACGTGCCACGACCACTCTTACCCGCGTGGCATTTAGAAAGTGCGCCGACCGCGGTCTGAAACGGAATAAGAATTAGCCCGAAACTCCCCCACCTCTGGCAGTTCTGGGAGGGGACAATTTGAGGGTAGAAAAATGGAGGTGAGGCCTCCAAAGGTAGTAATAGGCGCACAGAACTAACTTATCAGCTGGGGAGGAGCCCACCCTTCAGTCTAGTGCACACACACCGACCCACGAGGCCAGGAACCCCAAGCCAGAGGGGTGCGTTCACTTGTGCAAAGTCTGCAAAGCAGCAAAGACAAACAGTAAACACACGCACAGCCCCCCGTTCTCGGGAGGGGCGGCACACGCTTTCTGATGCACAGCCATCGCCCCCGCGAGGCGCCCGCGGTGACTCACGCCAGCCCGGCCCTCGGCGGCGGGCGTGGAGGCAGCGGCGGCGGCGAGCGCGGGCCGCGAATGACAGGCGGGCGGCGCGGGAGCCCCACCCGGGACCCGGGAGGACGCGCACCGCCCCCAGCTGACACCGACGCCAACAGGAAACGCCACTGCCCGCGGCGGCGTGCGGGGAGCCCCGGCCAGGCGAGCCAGGCGCCCTCTCTAAGCCTCAGTGTCCCCACTGGTGAGGAGGGCCGGCCCCCCACTCCCAGCCCCTCCGCGCTCGGCCATGGAAGGCGCAGGGGAGACCACGCTCTGGAGGCCCCACACCTCCCACGTCCAGTTCCAGGGACGCGCCACCCCCGCCCCCCCGCACCCCATCCCCGGCAGGTGACGGGAAAGGAAGGGGACCCGACTCTACCGTAGACAGCCGGCGCCGCCGCGCGGGGAGACCCGAGCAGGCGCGAACTCCGCCGGGGCGAGGACGTGAGGTCCGGCAGCGCAGGTCGGAGTCGCCGCCTCCGAGTCCGGCGGTCCCGATGCTCAGCCCGCCCGTCAGTTCTCCTGACGGTTCTCCCCACTCGCGTCTCGACACCACCTGCTCGCCGCACGGCGGAGGATGATGGCGGAGGAGGAGGATTTTAAAAGCCGGCAGTTTCTTTCCTTCGATTTGATTTGTTCGAGGCCCTGACGGCTTCCCCGGCCCCCGCGCGTGTGGCCTACGGGGAGTGGTAGTCCAGTTCTCCCTCTTGGGGCGCGGCAGAGAGCGGCCGCGAACTACCAATCCCGTGATGCAACGCGCCCAGAGCGCCGCCGCCGGCCCCTCTCCGCCCTCCCTTTTCAGCTTCTGGCTCTTTCTGCGGGAGACCACGGGGCGGCGTTTAGACGTGAGCGCCCCGGAAGACTACAATTCCCTTTATGCCTTGCGGCCTAGCATCCCCGCCCTTCCGGAAAGGTGCAAACTTACTTAACAAAGCCGTAGAGCCGAAGGCACGCTGTTCGTCAGTTCAGCATGTGGTAGGTATTTACTAAAAGGAAAGCCGCGCCTTTTTTTTTTTTTTTTTTTTTTTTTGGTCCCATGAACTTGAAAGGATACTGGAAGCTTTCCATGTAAATAGCCACAAATTACTTGATAATTAAAAAGGGAAAATAGTAACCCTATGGTACAGAAACTCTGTGACACTACACTACCTTAACCCAAGTGGTCCACCTGAACATTGATAACAGGACAAACTGGCATCCACCGTACACCTCCCGATGTGATGCACTGAGAACGCAGCATCACCATCCAGTGAACAATGCATACAATTCATCTAATAACGAGGGAACATCAGACAATCCCAAACAAGTTCCAGAATAACTAGTCTGTACTCTTCCAAAAACCTTCTGTCGTGAAAAAGACAAAGAAAGGCCGAGGAATTGTTGCAGATTAAGGGAGGCTAACAAAACAGGACAACTAAATGCAATACATGATCCTGTACTATAAAGGGTAATATTGAGCCCGGCTAGCATGGCTCCGTGGTTGAGCGTGGATCTATGAACCAGGACACATGCTCTGCCCCCACTTGATCCCCAGTAGGGGCTCCAGTAGGGGGCGTGCAGGAGAGCCAATCCATTATTCTCTCTCATCACCATTATTCTCTCTCATCATTGATGTTTCTCTCTCTCTCCCTCTCCCTTCCTCTCTGAAATCAATTAAAAAAAATTTTTTTTAAAAAAAAGGTAATATTGAGACAATTAGCAGAAGTTGAAAAGGGAGGGTGAAGAGGGGACCCGTGGCAGCGCTCTGGGCATGTTGCATCACGGGACTGAAAGATAACAGTATTGTATCAACATTAAATTTATTGATTTTTATTACTGTACTGGGTTATGTAGGAGACTGCCCTTGTTCTTGGAAAATACATGCTGAAATTATTAGGAGCATGAGGTCTGCAACTTACTCTCAAATGATTCAAGCATTCCTGTAAGCCTTCACGATGTAAAGCAAAGAAGCAATTACCATTAATTTAAATGGGAAAAATTTTAAGGGTTCCCAGACTCAAAAAATAACCTACCCAATCATATCAAATAACACATAAAATCTAAGTTAACACAAGCATAGAGTAAAAGCAAGAATGATGTGATACACGGCCTATATAAAGTAGAAATAACGTATGTACAGTGCAGTTTCACTTTCTACAGCACACTGTGTGTATAACAGCTCACTGCAAAACCCAAACGTAGCTCACCACAAACACTAACACTATTTTTAGTTTTCGGCCATTTTCTGAAATCTTTCTGATTTCTTTCAGTTATGAAAAAGAGGTAGTCATCCCTCAATATCCATGGTGGATGGGTTCCAGGACCCCACCAGAGTGCCAAAATCTGCAGATGCTCAAGTCCCTTATATAAAATAGTGTAGTATTTGCATATAACCTAAGCACATCATCCTGTATACTTTATCCATCTCTAGATTACTTGTAATATCTAACCCAATGTAAATGCTGTGTAAACAGTTGCTGTACTATATTGTTTAGGGAGCAATGACAGGAAAGAAAGTCTACCTGTTTGGTACAGATGTAACCACTGTAAGGCCTCACTACATGGTACAACAGCATAACTTTTTCCCCAAAAATATTTCCAGCCCTGTTGATTGAACCTGAGGATGCAGAACCCGCAGGGACAGTGGGCTGACACCACAGTGTATGTCTTTCATAAATAGAGTGGCATAGCAAACTTTCAAAAACAGGGAGATAAATATATATATAGAGAGAGAGAGAGAGAAGAGAGAAAGAAAGGGGGGGAGCACGTGCAAATGTGGCAAAATGTTAACAGTAAATGAATATGAGAATTTTTGAATATTTTGGCTTTTCTGTAGGTGTGACTTTTCTAATACATAAGTAGCTTTTCCTTTTTTCTTTTCATAGAAACTGTTTTAACCATTATATAATTAACACATGTTCATCATAATCACTTCAACCAATATAAAACAGGATACAGGGAAAAGTAAACATTACCCAGAAACTCTCGCACCCAGAGATAATCACCGTCAACATATGCAGCTGTCTTTTCCAAGGTTCCCTCTCACAACTTGGCCCACACACATGCTTTTGCTCTACCTGCAATTCAGTTACATACAGGATGGGGCAAAAGTAGGTTTACAGTTTTATTTTTTTATTTTTTAAATATATTTTATTGATTTTTTACAGAGAGGAAGGGAGAGAGATAGAGAGTTAGAAACATCGATGAGAGAGAAACATCGATCAGCTGCCTCCTGCACATCTCCTACTGGGGATGTGCCCACAACCAAGGTACATGCCCTTGACCGGAATCGAACCTGGGACCCTTCAGTCCGCAGGCCGACGCTCTATCCACTGAGCCAAACCGGTTTCGGCTACAGTTTTAATAATACAAGAATAAACTGTTTTGTGTACTCACAATTGTAAACCTACTTTTACAAGCCAGATTCTTCCACACACAGCTAATTTAATCTTTGTAACCACAAAGGAAGTGGACATCTTGACCACCCTTCCCAGCTCAAAGGTGAGAAAACTGAAGCTCCAGCCGGGTTCACACAACATGCGGGCTGTCTTTCTATCCTCTTTTTCACCCTTTGCCTACAAGGCTCATATCCAAGGCCCCCTTGTTCAGGAGGCTTCCCTACACCCTCCAGCCAGGGTGAGTCACTTTCCGCTGGCCCCCACAGCACGCTGAAAACCCCCGCAGCACGTGGTCTGTGGGCTTTTTCACAGCCAGAGTTCATGGCGTCCTTGTCAGCCTCCTCCTCAACCTGGGGGAGCCTCTAGGACAGGACTATTTCCGTCCTGGCAGCATCCTCTGGGGCCAGGGCTGTCACAGGTGCTTCAGGTTTCCTCATTTGAATGGGATTCCAGCCAGAGTCACGGGATGTTTCCTGAAAATGAATCATCATCCCTACCTGGTTTGGTTCAGTCGATGGAGCGTCGGCCTGTGGACCGGAGGGTCCCCGGTTTGATTCTAGTGAAGGGCACGTACTTTGGTTGCAGGCTCCTCCCTGGCCTGGGCCCTGGTCGGGGCTCGCACAGGAGGCAACGAATGTCCATGCTTCTCTCTGTCTCTCCCTATCTCTTCCAATCTCCCTAAAAATCAAAGGAAAAATATCCTGGGGTGAGGATTAAAAAAATAATAATAAAATGAAGCATCATCTGAGAATTCCCGTGCTGACTCCAGCTAGGATCCATCAAGTCTGAGGTTACCTTGGGGTGATCCCCAGGCTCCTTCTAGGTTACTTCCTGAGCCTTTCCAGGCCCTCAGACACATACCGCCCAAAGAGAAGAGGAAGATGGGGGGCAGTAGGACATATTAGGCGATCTTCCCTTCCTCATGCAGCTGATGGATCAGGGGTTTCAGAACTGGGGGCGGGCAGGGGGGGGGGTCTTAGCAGAAACTTTATGACCTTCAAAGGTCAGGGAGGTAATGGGAGGTGACGGGGGTCAGTGAGGCTGGTGGAGAGCTCGAGAGTAGGTGTTCCGCTTGGAGATGTTCACATTCCAAGCTAAAAATCACGAACCCAGCCTGTCAGATTCTGTTTGCCATCCTGAATCTAGATTCTAGCTCGAACCCCTTTAAGATGGAGACTGGCGTTTAAAAATAAGAAGGAAAAGGGGTTTGCCCGAGGGTGTACAGTGAGTCAGAAGTGTCCAGAACCATCATGTTTCCAAGCAACCCATTTGTCATCTTCTCTCATTCCTTCCCTTTCTCCAGCTCCCTCTCCTTTGTTACCACAGGAGAGCTGGTCTGTTTGCCTGGCTCTGGAAGTGCAATCATAGCCTTTGCAGGCAGATGAAGCTATCTTAGCTACCCCTTTCCTCTTTAAAATAGACGAAGACCTGCAGCCCAGAGAGGTCAACTAATCTGCCCAAGTTATACAGAAATTTAGACTAGAGACAGAAGCCGGGTCTCTAGGCTTCAAGCCTACCCTCCCCCCCGCACCCCTCCACCCACAGCACACACACACACACACACACACACACACACACACACACAAAACAAGTCATTTTGTGAGTGTGAGGTGGGAATAAGAGGAGGGGGAATGTTCCAGACCTTTCTCTGTTTGTTATACAGTGTGTTTTGTTTTCTTTTTCAGCGTTTTGAAGAGGAAAGCAGGCTGCCTCTGATTAGGTTTGGCTTATTTTAAACTGAGTGTTTTAAATTCCATTCTGGTGCCTGAAATCAAACTTAATTGCCAATTATAAATGATATAAATAATATTTACCCTGGTTTCCTGAAGAGCTACCAAGGCTGCAGACTTGCCATTTAGTCATATCAAAAACAAATGCCATAAGCATGCGAAACAGTGAGGAGGAATGTGGAGAGACATTCCTAAGATCCAAATGAGTGCTGCCCTTGGGCCTAGGAGAGAGATGTGTGGGCCTGGCCTACCCACATGCAGGGGAGCCAGCCCCTCATTCCCAGGGGACACCTCCTGGTGGGAGGGGGTCTCTACACAGTTTACAAAAGACAACTCAACCCACATTCCCCCTGGGTGCAAGCCCAGGGCTCTCCACCAGAACATACTCTCTTTTTTTAACCTCGATAAACACCCATAATTAAAATAATTCATTAACTCTATTAATAGTTACCAAGCATCTACTCTGTGCCAGGCACTGTTCCAGCTCCTGAGCAGACAGTGATGAATGAAAAAAGAAAAGGATGGTGTCTGCAGAGGAGCTTAAATTCCGAACTAGCATTTGTGAAGGGCTTTCTAGTACCAGATGCTTTGGGTAGATTATTTTCTCCT